ACTGGCTTCATGTCTGTATGGTATGTCATATCTACAGGTTGAGGATGATACTTGTATGTTTACCATGGACTCACTGGCTTCATGTCTGTATGGTATGTCATATCTACAGGTTGAGGATGATACTTGTATGTTTACCATGGACTCACTGGCTTCATGTCTGTATGGTATGTCATATCTACAGGTTGAGGATGATACTTGTATGTTTACCATGGACTCACTGGCTTCATGTCTGTATGGTATGTCATATCTACAGGTTGAGGATGATACTTGTATGTTTACCATGGACTCACTGGCTTCATGTCTGTATGGTATGTCATATCTACAGGTTGAGGATGATACTTGTATGTTTACCATGGACTCACTGGCTTCATGTCTGTATGGTATGTCATATCTACAGGTTGAGGATGATACTTGTATGTTTACCATGGACTCACTGGCTTCATGTCTGTATGGTATGTCATATCTACAGGTTGAGGATGATACTTGTATGTTTACCATGGACTCACTGGCTTCATGTCTGTATGGTATGTCATATCTACAGGTTGAGGATGATACTTGTATGTTTACCATGGACTCACTGGCTTCATGTCTGTATGGTATGTCATATCTACAGGTTGAGGATGATACTTGTATGTTTACCATGGACTCACTGGCTTCATGTCTGTATGGTATGTCATATCTACAGGTTGAGGATGATACTTGTATGTTTACCATGGACTCACTGGCTTCATGTCTGTATGGTATGTCATATCTACAGGTTGAGGATGATACTTGTATGTTTACCATGGACTCACTGGCTTCATGTCTGTATGGTATGTCATATCTACAGGTTGAGGATGATACTTGTATGTTTACCATGGACTCACTGGCTTCATGTCTGTATGGTATGTCATATCTACAGGTTGAGGATGATACTTGTATGTTTACCATGGACTCACTGGCTTCATGTCTGAATGGTATGTCATATCTACAGGTTGAGGATGATACTTGTATGTTTACCATGGACTCACTGGCTTCATGTCTGTATGGTATGTCATATCTACAGGTTGAGGATGATACTTGTATGTTTACCATGGACTCACTGGCTTCATGTCTGTATGGTATGTCATATCTACAGGTTGAGGATGATACTTGTATGTTTACCATGGACTCACTGGCTTCATGTCTGTATGGTATGTCATATCTACAGGTTGAGGATGATACTTGTATGTTTACCATGGACTCACTGGCTTCATGTCTGTATGGTATGTCATATCTACAGGTTGAGGATGATACTTGTATGTTTACCATGGACTCACTGGCTTCATGTCTGTATGGTATGTCATATCTACAGGTTGAGGATGATACTTGTATGTTTACCATGGACTCACTGGCTTCATGTCTGAATGGTATGTCATATCTACAGGTTGAGGATGATACTTGTATGTTTACCATGGACTCACTGGCTTCATGTCTGAATGGTATGTCATATCTACAGGTTGAGGATGATACTTGTATGTTTACCATGGACTCACTGGCTTCATGTCTGTATGGTATGTCATATCTACAGGTTGAGGATGATACTTGTATGTTTACCATGGACTCACTGGCTTCATGTCTGTATGGTATGTCATATCTACAGGTTGAGGATGATACTTGTATGTTTACCATGGACTCACTGGCTTCATGTCTGTATGGTATGTCATATCTACAGGTTGAGGATGATACTTGTATGTTTACCATGGACTCACTGGCTTCATGTCTGTATGGTATGTCATATCTACAGGTTGAGGATGATACTTGTATGTTTACCATGGACTCACTGGCTTCATGTCTGTATGGCATGTCATATCTACAGGTTGAGGATGATACTTGTATGTTTACCATGTCTACAAAGAAAGGCTGCTTTTACCCATGCTTGTTGTAAGAAGAGAATAACGGGAACGGGTGGTCAGGCTCGCTGACTGGGTTGACACATGTCATCGTATCCCAGTTTTGTAGGTCAATGCTCATGCACTCACGAAATAAAGAAGTTGTTATCCATAAAAACTTGTTCCATATTGTACGTCTCAACTTCTAAAATGCCACTCAAACAAATGCTCATGCTGTTGATCACTGGATTGTCTGGTCCAGGATTGATTATTTAAAGACCTTTGCCATATAGCTTGAATATTGCGGATTGTCGCGTAAAACTACACTTGCTCAGTCACTCAGATATCGAGACCTGTGTGTTTTACCACTTGGTTGATCATGCAGGTAGTGTTGTACCTGACGGTATTGACTAATATCAGCCAAGTCGGTATGTAGCAGGTGTGCTTGCTGCAACTGTTTCATCATTGATTTAAGTTTGGTTTTATTCAAGGGAGTCACTTCTGTACTCTGCTGCCCTCACAAAGCAATGTATCAGAAGCTACACACTTTCACAAGGCAGAATGTTCAAACTGATAGAGTAAGAGGTACCTCTCACTTTGGGAGCCTTCCAAATGTCAGACATTGAGACAAAATTTTAGTGATTATGTTGCACGAATGTTTGTCATATGTTTGAAATACTAAAGCTTGTGTGTTTGTTGTTTAACACGATATACTCAGCAATATTCCAGCTACCGGTATATGGTGTGAGTCTGTAAATAAATAGTAATGAGTAAGGCAAGACATTATTTTATGGTTAAATATATTTAGTGAAATATCCTAGTTTGTAAGTGTGATAGAAGTACACAATTGTAATAGGAATCATTGTAAGAATAATATTCATCAGTTTCATTATAGGTCATAAATAGTTCTTCAAGATGGGACCTTGTGAGTTACCATCACATTTCTTTCCCAGCGTGTGTAGAAATGCGCCATGTTGTCCAGCCATTGTCTTTCTAGCAGAATGTCATAATAATTCCTTAATATGATAATCAAACTAGCCAGTTGTAAACGTCAAATTTCAGTTGTAATGTGTTTCTCATTGTGGCCATACATTATACCAGGGATTGTTGATCATGATAAGTGGTAACACGTCTAAGAACTGTAGAAGCTGGGGCCTACCCCATATCTAGAGCTCACAGTAGCATTACATCCAGATACATACTGTCTGCTACTCACACAGTTTTGACAAACATATGGCTTTAAAACTGTTTGAAAATGGAGCCCCGGTCTGAACTTATCTCACTGACGCCAGTCAGAAAGACATGCTGCTGAGTACATAGTGTGAACATGTGTTGCCATGGAGATAAGAGTATCTAAGTAATCTGTTACAACTGCTAAAATGTCATTACGTGGGGAAAAAATGAACCCAATTTAAAACCAGGTGATTTACATTTGCGTGGAATTTTAAACCTCCCAAGTGAAAATAATCTAGATGATAATCAGCTCTTGCAAACAAAGCAGCAGTTGTAGTATTGTACTTTGAAGTTGGTCGAAGGCCAGGAGGTGATTATAGTTGTAGGTTTTACCTTTGTCTCAGCAGGAGTTGATTGTTACCTGGCTGAGTGATGGGTGACAGTCTAAGGGGGAATTCTGGGCACATGTTTACCTTGCTGTGACACATTCTCTGTTTAAGAGACGGCTGTTTACCTGTTGATTTAGTCAACACCTATCCCAGCATAAACTAGGAAGTGAAAGTCTCTTTCTGTGCGGCGGTGTGTCTGTGGAGGTATCTAACTGTGTTAAAGGTAGGAGTGTTTTCACCCTCATTTCGACATATTAAGACATCACAACCTCGTGAAAGGAGGTTTAACTCTTATATTTGTATTGTGTATGCTTGCAGTAAGTAGTCTTTTCTTCAGCATGTTGTATGTCTGTCAAAATGTTTAAGAATTTAAACGATTCTTCCCTGAATTTTCTTCCCGTTACTAAATGTAAATGAACTTCTCCAAATTTGATAAATGTCAGACAAGTAGGAAGTATTGTTTTGAAACACGACTTTTATTTGATTCCTGAAAGAATTATTGTTTGTGTTCTGTAAAATGGTAAATTAACAACTAACGTCTTGAGGAAATGACAAGGGCCTAGATTCTCGAAGCTCTCTTAGCTCTAAGATAGTCGTAAGTGCCATACATTAACATTAACTTACGACTATCTCAGCTCTAAGAGAGCTTCGAAAATCTAGGCCAAGGAAAACAGGTTTCCACTTGATCTACTAGTAATCATCTATTTTATAGACTATTGGACAGAAAAGATAAAGGTGTAAGAATCCTGACTTGTGACAATTTATATTGTCATAGTCCATAAGTCAAATAATCTCTAGATTGGGCAGAAAAGATATAGTGTTGAAAATCCTCACTTGTGAATTGTATTGTCATAATCCAGAAATCAAATAATCACCCCATGTTTTCTGTTTTATTATAAACCGAAATAGTGGAACTTACGATACTGTCCCTGGAGATAATACCACTGGCCATAACACTTTACAATAGGATTTGATAAATGTGATGGATGATAATGTGATGATTGACTTTTTCAGACATGTATGGGGCTTTGGGGTAGCCTTGTGGGTAGAGCTCTCCGTCACGCTGAAGGCCCGGGTTCTATTCTCCACATGGGTAAAATCTGTGAAGCCCATTTCTAGTGTCCCCCGGCGTGATATTGCTGGAATATTGCTAAAAGTGGCGTAAAATCAAACTCACTCACTCAGACATTTAGGTAATGTTTCCGCTTTGATGGTTTCAGGGTTTGAGAAATGTCATTCTATTAAAACTATACAGTATCATGTACAGAGCCACTCATCCAGGCTGATGAAATATACTCCGATACACATGGACAAATTTCACTTCCTTCAAGAAATTTGATCCCCCTTGTGGGAATGTGTGTTGAATACCTGTGTATTGAATAGGAGCATGAGGGGGAATATGTATTATACTTTCAGCAGATTGTGGGTCGTTGTTCAGTGGGAGTCATTAAGTACTTTGTTGCTTCAAGGTCACAGGGACTGCCGAAGCCTTCCCAGAATGTTGACAAGCAGCATATTTCATGTCTGTATAGTCACTGGGGGAGTAGCATATCAGCACTGATGTCTCGCCCTAGTTTCAGGTGAGGCGGAGAGAGAAAGGATATAATTGATGTGTGTCTCTTTCCTGGTGGGACTCTCACTCAGGAGACCACACAAAGTGTAGGAGTAGTAGTAGTAACTGTAGTCATCTGAAAGTAAGTTGTTTTACTAAATGCCTATGTTTGAAATGTGTAGTGGATTTAACCAATTCTGTGGTAACGTGTGTCTATTTGGGGATGTGTCTATTTGCAAACTGTAATTGTGTCTGTTTAAAGGTAAGATTTTAAGAGATTTTCCATGAAATGTGGATCCTTTACCATGTTCACTAATCATGAATTAAACAAAATTCCATTATGATACCATGAAAGATGAGTATGACTCTGGCAATAGTATGAGGAATTCTTCACCATGTTCACCTGGAGTCTCTATTATTTTCATCAATAAGAAGATGTCCTGTGTTATTTTTCATTTTTCACAGTATTTCTGCAGCATTAGTGATTTAGGGTCTCTGACATTAATTTCGTCCTTTGCCGCACTTTTCTTGTGTCAAACTTAGGAACGGTTTGGGTTCTGTAAACAAACTTTACTCACAGTGTGTGTACAGAAATATTTGGGGTATTACACAATGTGCAAAATAGCCACTGACCCGTTAGCCCGTGGCTAGTAAAAATCCAGTCAGGCCAGTAAATATCAGTCACTGGCCCGACTGGCTAGTGTATTTTCATGGGGTCATTTCGTAAATATATCAGTCTTTTCGACTTGTTAAGCTATAATACACTTTTAAATCATGCAAGAATATGGCCTGATAAAAATGTTCATCATATTAGCAGCTAAATGATGAAACCTGTGTCTGCATTCAAATTTCGGGCTAGTGAATCACTTTGTGGGCTAGTAAGTTTCAGGCATAGCTAGACGACTGACTAGCAAAATTTGGAAACTATTTTGCACACTGGTATTACATCATGAACTAATTCACAAGATTCAATTCATTATTCTTTGTCACTAGAATCGAAGATTAAGAATATTCTTTTATGAGTGTTTTTTTTTTTAAAACTAGTTTATTTGTTTACCTAAGTAAGATATGAAAAATGGAATATATCCAAGTCAGGCAGTAGTGTAACTTGTGTTATTTTGCCAAGGCCCCTTACGACACTGTTGAGGCTATAAGCAGCATTCTTCGTAATGTATTGCGAGAAAAATAACATTCATGTCATCGAAGACAAGCTCCATGTGCTATTAAAGTGCCCATCTTACAGTGAACTAAGGAAGACACATCTAAAACAATGCTATTTACAACATCCAACTATGAACATACTAAAAGCTCTGCTACAATCAACTGGAAAAACTACTTTGCAGAATTTGTGTTATTGTCTTCTAATGCTACACGCCTTATTACAAAAAAAATCAGAATTAAAGTATGCTGTATATCTATTTCATGTGTATAAATGTATTTTTGTCCAATGGCCTTATACTGAAATAAATCTGTCTGTCTGTCAGTGTCTGTCTATTTGGAACCAGTTTTTTGTTTGTTATCTATGTGAGATGTGAAAAATGGAATATATCCAAGTCCGGCAGTAGTGTAACGCATGTTATTTTGTCAAGGCCCCTTCTTCGCAATTCTTCGCAATGTATTGCTTTGTTTCTTTATAGAAAATATCATTTAAATGTTTCAGCTGAAGCAACCTCTTATATGTTTGTAGTTTTATTTCTTGCTATTAAACATTAGGTATTCATAAATAAATGGTCGAGTTTGTTACAAAATATTCGTAAAGCATATCGTGTTCACCTCATATAGTAGTTGTTGCAGCCCTAGAACATACTCTGTTCACATGTGTATGTATCTTAGAGTAATAAATGTGATCTGTCTAATGTCAGTATTGTTTCCACATTAATCTTTTACAACCGATGAATAATTGATCTAAAGTCATCAGAACTGATATAGAAATAATGTGCTTATGTTTATTGTTCATCATATTGGCTATAGTGGGTGAATGTCACATTATGTAGACGAAAGTATCCATCAGTGTGAAGGTGTTAGGTATTTTGAATCAAGGAGGAAGTGTCTGGTACTTGTGTCGGGAGGTAGACACTTGCACCAGCTGTACATGGATGGGCTGCACTGTTGATGTAACCCTGGCAGACAGGTTTTTAATTGTGAGTGAATTAGTTTCACGACAGATACAAGGAAATGTTTGAAAGTTGTTGATTATTGAAACATTTGAAGGGAGCAGTTCACTTCCTGTTTATACATGTGGCCTCAAATGTTTGTGAGCTTGTTTAGCCATGCTGAAAACTAGGTAGACATTCATGCACAGTTACATCTGTTGACTATGATTGATGACTGGTTGGTATTTGTTTCTGAAACAGACCATGACATACAAGGTGGTATTGAGACCAGCTCACAGGCTGGTATATTTGTCCACAGGGTGCAGTTAATATTCTTAATGGACATTCTCAATTAGTGTTAATTAACTAATGTCAAGGCCTGGTCAAGTTGAGGAAGGTCAATGGTGACTTATATATCACTGAGGACCGATAAAGACTACGGTAAGTGGTAAAATTTTACATTAAAACTTTGAGATTGCTCTAAAATTAAGAAAATTAAATCTTTCAAAAATTTTTCATTTTAGTAAATTTGAATTGCAGTTTACCTGCCAAGAGATTTTAGTTTTGAATTCTGTATAAATCCCTGACAAGGTTCTCCCCCACTGTGATGATTCATCTCAGTGATGTTCCAAGAAGTTCTTTTGTGTGTCTCGTTAATAGGAAATTTATTTACCACTAAGGTAAACATCTTAGGAAGTATTTACCGATTAGACTTGGTAATATCTGGCTTCCTTTTGATTCATGAGGCATTTAATGTGATTGCCAGTTGGTCAATATATATTGTTGACTTGTGGTTGAAGGTGAAATATGATAAGTGCACCTCTACCTGAGTGGTAGTGTGTGTCTGTTATCAAGGAGAAGGGTGTATAGTCAGTGATCAGTGCACCTTACCTAAGTGATAGCCCCCTGCCGTGATGTAACCGTCAGTGGCAGATATAACAGATTACCAGATCAAGGTGATAACATGGTGAACAGCCTGTCAACTGGTTCTGCTATAGGACTGCAGGTGTAAGTGTTACTGTGTAGCTATATGGATTGTTTATACCCAAGATGGGACAGGCACTTAGGTTTGTTAAGATTGTTGTCTATTGTTGTCATCACGGTTGTATATGTATAATAATAACCCTGCTTTGTAGCATACTTTGACGTCAGTGCCTTTGATCCCAAGTGTGGTGTAACCGATAGTTACACCACGCTTTTGCAAGCCCCTCCCCTTGCTGCTCAGTCATTAGCTGACATAGGTCACGCCCACAAAAGGCAATGAATGACTCGCACATTGTTTTACTTTTTATTTCGCTGTCCTCTGTAAGTGGTTCGGCCTGTTTGACAACTGTTCCGATATACCTTGAGAAGTATAATTTTCGTCATTTGTGCATTTGGCAAACAGTCATCTCGTTTCACATTCAAGAAATTTATAAAGTTTCCTTGTTCTCTAATGCTTCTGAGTAGTCCCGTCATTATCAAGTATAAAGTTTTGGCTGGGTAAAGAGTACCATCCACTTTACGTGCCTCCATTACGAACTTCTGACTTAATGTAATGTCGTCAATATCAGTATCCCAACAATCAGTCACGTTCGAACTCGCCATTTTCGTTATTTACTGTTTTATCGCCAGGACAAACTGAAAAGTGGCGGAAATTCAAAATTTACCTCACATCCAGATTGCGACGCCAGCATATGCTATAAGTGAGTTACATCATCAGACACTGCGATTGATTTCAGTTACCTTGCAGTTTTGTGTGGCTTTGATTGACAGGAGAATTTGACAACTCGGCTCTGCCCCTCGTGGTCAATTCTCCTGTCAATCAAAGACACAAAAAACTGTGAGGTAACCAAGCCAATCACTTGTGTTAAGGTGATGTAACCTACTTGTACAATTGTCAATTCTCCTATCAATCAAAGATACACAAAATCTGTGAGGTAATGTAAGCCAATCACATTGTTGTAAACTGTGTTAAGGTGTTATGTAACTACTACTTGTACAATTGTAAAATATGTATCTTCATATTATATCCTGATATGGGTTTGATTTTATCATCCAAAACTGTGTTCCACAGGAGATATCGCTAGGAGATCAAACGATATCTCCTAGAGATATCGCTTTTGACAGTAGATTTTGTACAATGCCCTGACAATGTTATGACGTCATGTACTTGATGACGTCACAATGCTATGACATCGCTGCACTGCAAGTCTAATGGCAGTACCATGTTCAGAGATGTACATTTTTCACTGAAAATTAATGAAGAGTGATTTGGGATGATAATAATTCACTGTGTCTTCTGATATCAATATATCAACACTCGTTGATAAAAGTAAAAATATCCTCGGCAAGCCTCGGATAATGGTAACTTTATCCACTCGTGTTGATATAATCGATATCAGAAGACACTTGGGTGAGATTCTCTATGTATTTGCTCTCTGGTTTGAATATTGATCACTGTTAAGGAACAATGAATAATATATGCGTAAAATTCATATTCAATTTGATTTTCTTTGAGGGAGCATGTGCTAACTCCTGTCAGTTATGGGTTTGAGAGAACATATGTCATACTGTATTGACTGTCATGACTGCATGGAGGACACCTGGCTTGGACCTACTCTGACCTCACAGTGGGTACAAAAACAACATGTTCTGTTTGTGTGGGACTTTAGGGTGGTCATGACTGTTTATGAGGCAAGTTAGAAGAGGGAGGCAGGTTTCATAATCATCATTATATGCCAATCAATTCTGGAAGTGGGATTTGATTAATGTGGAGGCTCTTTATGACAGAATTTTAGATGATGAAAGGAAGGAATTCCACAGCTATTTTAAGCGTGCCATGGTTGTTGGACAAAATCTGAAATTTGAGATAGATTTTGTTGATGGTGATGTACTTCTGGATGGTACAGCGATGGGAGTAAACCAGGTGAAGTCCTTCACCAAGTCTGCCCAGAGTCGGTCATTTGTGGAGAAGCTCTCTGAGAAGCCATTGCATTGTGTGTACATGCAGTGTGTGGAACAGAATAGCAATTCAACCGACTCCTTCGCCTGAATGAAGTCAGCTAGTCTTTAATGTGAAACTGAGGACTTCCTTTTCGCTGCTCAGGACCAGTCACTTCCCACTCGCAGTCGCCTAAATGTGATTCTTAAAGAAAATGTTAATATGAAATGTCGACTGTATAATGAATTTACAGAGACTGTCCAACACCTTGTCAGTGAATACCCTTCCTTGGCACAAACAACATATCTTAAACATGTCAAAAGGCATGATAGCATGGCTCGTTGCTTCTACTGTTGTCTCCGCCATGTCTGTGGCTTTGACCCTGAACATGTCCAAGGCGTCATGGAAAATGATGCTTTTAAACTTCTTTGCAATAGGCCCATATACAGCCTCAGAAAATTCCAGCCAACAAACCTGATCTTGTCCTTTTAATAAAGCTAATGAATTTATTTATGTCATTGAATTTTCTGTCCCTTTTAACAGCAACATTGATTGATAAGATTCAGGAAAAGCATGATAAATATGTGGACCTCGCCTTTGAAATGTCTCGCTTACATCCCAAGTACACTGTCGTCAGACTCCCCATTGTTATCGGTGCCCTTGGTTTGGTACCTCCTGATCTCTTGGTGGAGATAGGAGAGTGCCAGGGTTCTCCACCGGAAGCACAGCCCTTCTGACACTCTGGGTAATGCAGAAGGCTGCAGTGTTGGGGAGTGTACATATTCTCCAGAAAGTTCTTAGTGGTTTCGACTAAGCAGCGTTTCCTGGGAGAAGTCCCATTCGCTGTCTGGACTTCGTGTAGAGGGGACAAGGGCCCTGAGCTCATGATGAGTCTTACCAGCCTGACTGTGCCAGGATCACCTGAACCCTCTCTGCTACATTTTCATCTTAATCTGTAAAACATAACCAGATTTGGACAGGCTGTAGATTCTGAAAGGCAATAAAAAACATAACTCTACACAAAGGGAGATACGATATATGTGCAACACCGGGTATTGACTGTAGATGCTATAGCAGACAGACAGTACTGGCAATAGATCTAGTACTGGGATGGCAGTAGCTGCACCAGCTGCTAGGGGTCACACTCGACATCTGCTGCAGGATTGTTTACCCGTTTACAAGTTAAATTATCTATTTCTCATTGTGATATCAGCATACAAGATGGATTTTTGTTCTTCAGGGCCGGAGCCATGAGGCAATGACAACGAGGTGACAGTCATACGGAGGTGTGACAGACTTTCTTTGGCTCAATGGTTGGAGATGTCCAGCACCCCGGCTGATAAAGTGCAGGTAGCTACAGATATGTGGTGCCAAAGGGCACTGGTAAAGTGCAGGTAGCTACAGATATGTGGTGTTAAAGGGCACTGGTAAAGGGCAGGTAGCTACAGATATGTGGTGTTAAAGGGCACTGATAAAGTGGTGGTACCTTTAGATATGTGGTGTTAAAGGGCACTGATAAAGTGGTGGTACCTTTAGATATGTGGTGTTAAAGGGCACTGGTAAAGTGCAGGTAGCTATAGATATGTGGTGCCAAAGGGCACTGGTAAAGGGCAGGTAGCTTTAGATATGTGGTGTTAAAGGGCACTGGTAAAGTGGTGGTACCTTTAGATATGTGGTGCCAAAGGGCACTGGTAAAGTGCAGGTAGCTATAGATATGTGGTGCCATGGGGCACTGGTAAAGGGCAGGTAGCTATAACTATGTGGTGCCAAAGGGCACTGGTAAAGTGCAGGTAGCTATAGATATGTGGTGCCAAAGGGCACTGGTAAAGTGCAGGTAGCTGTAGATATGTGGTGCCAAAGGGCACTGGTAAAGTGCAGGAAGGCATAGATATCTGGTGCCAAAGGCACTGATAAAGGGCAGGTAGTGTTAGATATGTGGTGCCAAAAGGCACTGGTAAAGTGCAGGTATATGGTGCCAAAGGCACTGATAAAGTGCAGGTAGCTATAGATATGTGGTGACACAGGGCACTTGTAAGGTGCAGGTTTTCGGAGACAGCAAGTGGTGCCACAGGGCACTGGTAAAGAGCAAGTGGTACAAGAGCATGTAGTTATCCATCGCCAAAAGCTACACATTAAGTTGTTTGGTTTTTCTTTAAGAATGCCAACAAGGACTAGACCTGTGAAGATCCAGATTAGGATTTATCTTCGGTAACCCATGCTTGTCATAAGAGGCGGGTGGTCAGACTTGCTGACTTAGTTGACACAAGTCTTTGTATCCCAATTGTGTAGATCAATGTTCATGCTTTTGATCACTGGATTGTCTGGTCCAGACTTGATTATTTACAGACTGCTGCCAAATAGCTGGAATATTGCTGAGTGCAGCGTAAAACTAAACTCACTTACTTACTCCAACAAGGACCATAAATTTAAAACATCTTCAAACTTTCATTTGACAGTGAGTTTGTTTGCCCTGCAATGTATGTATTATGAGAATGTGGTATAAACATCGTATTGCATGTTTCCAGACGTCCCGTGCAGCAGCAGGAGTAGCCGTATCTCCCAGTGACACACCCTCCCCTCGGCCTCCGTCCCGGTCAGATGGGCGGAGGTTACCCAGCATTCCTTCACCAGACTCCCAGGAACTGATGCTACGACATACAAGCCAACACACAATGCCAGTATCTAAGGGAACCAATGGCTATGGGCCTTTCTTCCAGGAGTATAATCTCATGGCTGAGTAGTAAGTGCGAAAAGACCTTGGACATATTGTATGGAGCGAAGACGTATTACTTAAAGAACCACTAAACTTTGTTTTTTGTTACTCTTTTAACCATTACATATGAACGATTTGTGGTTAGTCTTATGCGGAACACCAAATTTATTCTTTAAAAACTTGTGGTTAATTAATACCGAGCGATTAAAAGTGGCCAAAAAGTCGCCTGCTTCCCTCTCACCCGCCAACGAAACCACAGACAGGTTACGTAACTCTGTCGCCAGAGCACTGCAGTGACGCCATATGAGGAACGATTTTCAGTTAGTTGTATAGAAATGTGTAGCACGCTCATCATTTTGATGATTTCGACATCAACGATTTACATGTCAATCGTTGCTTTGTCGCCAATTGCTCTAGGGGGTCGGGCGATGGTGTCCCCATGCACAGATTTCCACAGGACCGCAGTTCGGGCTAAATGGGTTATGTTTGTGAGTGCGGCGGCTGGCGTTGTAGGAAGCCTGAAACGATATCTTACTTGTGTTCAGATCGCTTCACGGAAGTTAAAGAATCAAAACTACTTACTAGTTGTAGTAAATATGCATATGATTAATGACCATAAAGATTTTCTATGACACAACTTGTAACATAACGATTTCTTCCTCGAAGTGAGGTTGTGGTCGAAGTAACAATAATATTGTAAGTAGTATTATATTGATTAGACACCCCTGCCTGCCACGAGAGAAATTGTTATGTTATACAAATGTCATGCAAAATCCTATTGGCTATCAATAAAATACATATTTTACTACCAGTAGAAAAGTAGTTTTGATTTTGTAACTTCGGTGAAAACAAACCCAAATACCATTTATCCTCAGACTGGCGGATGTTCCGACAGGGCGCCGCCATTTTTAAAAATAAAAACATCTGTTAGAATTAATGAGATTATGGTTTGTTTTCATCAAGTTAGAAAATCAAGACTACTTTCTACTCGTAGTTAAATATGTATTGGAATCATAACCAAACGGATTCTGCATGACACAACTTATAACATAACGATTTCTTCCACGGAAGCCAGGTGGGGGTCGAAGTCACAATACTGCGCGATAAATTTCTGGCTACATTCCATTATATGTAGATACTAGTCAATGTGCGTCTTTATATTTGGTCTTTATATTTGGTCTTATAATCCCAATTAGTTTATTATCATACTTGTATGCATTTTGAAACTAAATAAAAAGCAGACGATCTGCTGATACTTATAGTGAATTTATAACAGAACTGTAATATCTAGACATTTTATAGTTTGCCAATGTGAATCATAATTCGCACACACACCCTAGTGCATGTTGTCTGTCTCATTACACTTCGCGGCGAAAACAATGATTCTGTTGAATGCTTCGACAAATGAATAAAAACAAAATGCAAATATTAAAATTAAAACAGATTAAAGTTATAGGAACGATATCAGGCCATTACCTTGTTCGAGGAATGCATCCATCAATATCCACAAACTTGTTTGAGTGGCATTTTAGAAGTTGAGACGTACAATATATAACAAGTTTTATGGATAACAACTTCTTTATTTTAGAGTGAGTCGCGACGTTTACGATACAGATTTTGTACCGTTGTCAAGCAAGAGTGACTCTTGCTTGACAACGCACAAGAATCTGTATCGAAACGTCGCACTCACGAAAATAAAGAAGTTGTTATCCATAAAACTTGTTATATATAATATCCACAAAACTGTTCCAAATGATGTTATTTCTTTTAACAGTTTAACATACGAAAAAGTGATAAATCTTTTTCAGGTATTGGTGTATAGTCTCATTGGTCACCCAAGCTAGCACACCTGGCAACTTATTGCATAATGTCCGCCTTTCTTTAAAAACAGTAATTTAGTTAGCCAATAATGGGCAATCAATCAATGTATTGCCGGTTAATCCTTTGAAAGAAGGACGTTGTTTTTACGCAGACACCGACACGACAGAGTGTATTCAGTATAGATTAGTAAATCTACATACATAAACACTACCTTTTGACAATTCCGCTGTGTAAGATAAAAGTAATTAATCAATCAGCGTGTTATCGGTTAATCCTTTGATCGATGTTAATAATGTTGAATATTTACTCCAGACACAAGAAATGCCAAATGGGAACCTTGTCGGGTAATCTAAGTCTGTTACCACTAATTATACCTGTTATAAATTCATTAACTGACCATCAAGTGAATGATGACAAATAACATGTGTAGGTTTATACCACCTAACACGGTTACAACAAGGGAGTATTAATTGCTGTATTGCATGTGAAAACTTATGGGCCGACACTGTTTTGAGAATACAAACAGATTTTTACATGACATAATTAAATATACGAGGTAAAAAACACAGAAATGGGATCAATTTGGATCAGTCATTATACAAATAGGGCCTAACGACACTAGCGATTTTGACAGAATGCGTCTATGAAAACAAGTTGTAACTGGGAAACTAGGCTAAGCAGGAGACAAAATTAAATGACAGCAGATTGTGAGAACATATAGCTTTCATTTTCCACAACAATTGTCACGATTTCAGGTTTATACAAGCCTGTAAACAAGATAATTACCCCTAAAATGTAGATGAATTCTTGCATCGACCCTCAAAGCTATTCCTCATATGGCGTCACAGGCAGCCAGCTGATTGGTTGAAATTTGGTCATGCGGAGAGAATTGTGCACTGTTGTCAAAAAGGTCGATTTAAGTCAATTAAAGGTCGAAATGAGTAGTTTTAATGACGGGGTTTCATTTATAACGATGCCAGTTAGTGATTTATGTATTTGTACCCCCTAGGGTTTATGTGACCTTTAAAGGAGAGGTGTATTATGTGGAGTGAGAATGTATTACCCAGAGGGAAAACATATTATCTTGATGGAAGATGTATTACAGAGGGGAAAGGGCAGGTAGCTATAGATATGTGGTGCCATGGGGCACGAGTAAAGTGACGGTAGCTGTAGATATGTGATGCCACAGGGCACTGGTAAAGTGCAGGTAGCTATAGATATGTGGTGCCATGGGGCACTGGTAAAGTGCAGGTAGCTATAGATATGTGGTGCCAAAGGGCACTGCTAAAGTGCAGGTAGCTGTAGATATGTGGTGTCATGGGGCACTGGTAAAGTGCAGGTAGCTGTAGATATGTGGTGACACAGGGCACTGGTAAAGTGCAGGTAGCTATAGATATGTGGTGCCATGGGGCACTGGTAAAGTGCAGGTAGCTGTAGATATGTGGTGCCACAGGGCACTGGTAAAGTGCAGGTAGCTATTGATATGTGGTGCCAAAGGCACTGATAAAGTGCAGGTAGCTATAGATATGTGGTGACACAGGGCACTGGTAAAGTGCAGGTAGCTGTAGATATGTGGTGCCAAAGGGCACTGGTAAAGTGCAGGATGGAAGATATATTACAGAGGGGAAAGGCATTGCCTAGAGGAAAGATGTATTAACTTGATGTGTTACCAAGAGACAAAACATGATGGTAACAATGTCTGTGCTCAACTAAGGAACTTCTTTCAAATAATTGTATTCAATTGGTAACTGTTTTGGAAAAATGCTTCCAGTACTACCATGATTATTGCTACTAGTTAAAGTTTCTGCTTTATGAATACTTTCAGTGTTCATAATCAATATTCTGTTATTTTCCAGCAATCAGCTGTGTTCTTTGAAAGCACCAGGGATATATGTAATGCCGTCTGCCAAATCACCTCGCAGTAAGTTTAGTTTGTGAGACTGTAGTGTGTGATGCACAATAATACTACACTGTAATGATCTGTATGCTGATGTCCAGCCCATCTGTACAGACACAGTGTCAAGTCTGTACAGACACAGTGTCAGGTCTGTACAGACACAGTGTCAAGCCTGTATAGACACAGTGTCAAGTCTGTACAGACAGTGTCAGGCCTGTACAGACACAGTGTCAGGTCTGTACAGACACATGTACAGACAGTGTCAGGTCTGTACAGACACAGTGTCAAGCCTGTACAGACACAGTGTCAAGCCTGTACAGACACAGTGTCAGGTCTGTACAGACACAGTGTCAGGCCTGTACAGACAGAGTGTCAGGCCTGTACAGACACAGTGTCAGGTCTGTCCAGACAGTGTCAAGCCTGTTCAGACAGTGCCAAGCCTGTTCAGACAGTGTCAAGCCTGTACAGACACAGTGTCAAGCCTGTTCAGGTATACCGTGTCAAGCCTGTTCAGGTATACCGTGTCAAGCCTGTCCAGACACAGCATCAAGTCTGTTCAGATAGAGTGTGAAGCCTGTACAGACAGCATCAAGCCTGTACAGACAGCATCAAGCCTGTACAGACAGCATCAAGCCTGGACAGACAGCATCAAGCCTTGACAGACAGCATCAAGCCTGTACAGACAGCATCAAGCCTGTACAGACACAGTGTCAAGCCTGTACAGACACAGTGTCAAGCCTAGACAGACACAGTGTCAAGCCTATACAGACACATGATCAAGCCTGGACAGAGACAGTGTCAACCTGAACAGACACAGTGTCAAGCCTAGACAGACACAGTGTCAAGCCTTGACAGATACAGGATCAAGCCTGTACAGACACAGTGTCAAGCCTAGACAGACACAGTGTCAAGCCTTGACAGACACAGTGTCAAGCCTAGACAGACACAGTGTCAAGCCTTGACAGACACAGGATCAAGCCTGTATAGACACAGTGTCACGCCTGTACAGACACAGTGTCAAGCCTGTACAGACACAGTGTCAGGTCTGTACAGACACAGTGTCAAGCCTGTACAGACAGTGTCAAGCCAGGACAGACACAGTGTCAAGTCTGTACAGACACAGTGTCAGGTCTGTACAGACACAGTGTCAAGCCTGTACAGACACAGTGTCAAGCCTGTACAGACACAGTGTCAAGTCTGTACAGACACAGTGTCAGGTCTGTACAGACACAGTGTCAGGTCTGTACAGACACAGTGTCAAGTCTGTACAGACACAGTGTCAAGCCTGTACAGACACAGTGTCAAGACTGTACAGACACAGTGTCAGGCCTAGACAGACACAGTGTCAGGTCTGTACAGACAGTGTCAAGCCAGTACAGACAGTGTCAGGCCTGGACAGACAGCATCAAGCCTTGACAGACAGCATCAAGCCTGTACAGACAGCATCAAGCCTGTACAGACACAGTGTCAAGCCTGTACAGACACATGATCAAGCCTAGACAGATACAGTGTCAAGCCTGTACAGATACATGATCAAGCCTGGACAGAGACAGTGTCAACCTGAACAGATACAGTGTCAAGCCTGTACAGACACAGTGTCAAGCCTGTACAGACACAGTGTCAAGCCTAGACAGACACAGTGTCAAGCCTTGACAGATACAGGATCAAGCCTGTACAGACACAGTGTCAAGCCTAGACAGACACAGTGTCAAGCCTTGACAGACACAGGATCAAGCCTGTACAGACACAGTGTCAAGCCTGTACAGACACAGTGTCAAGCCTGTACAGACACAGTGTCAAGCCTGTACAGACACAGTGTCAAGCCTGTACAGACAGTGTCAAGCCTGTACAGACACAGTGTCAAGCCTGTACAGACAGTGTCAAGCCAGGACAGACACAGTGTCAAGTCTGTACAGACACAGTGTCAAGCCTGTACAGACACAGTGTCAAGCCTGTACAGACACAGTGTCAGGCCTGTACAGACACAGTGTCAGGCCTGTACAGACAGTGTCAAGCCAGTACAGACAGTGTCAGGCCTGTACAGACACAGTTTCAGGTCTGTCCAGACAGTGTCAAGCCTGTTCAGACAGTGCCAAGCCTGTTCAGACAGTGTCAAGCCTGTACAGACACAGTGTCAAGCCTGTTCAGGCATACCGTGTCAAGCCTGTTCAGGTATACCGTGTCAAGCCTGTCCAGACACAGCATCAAGTCTGTTCAGATAGAGTGTGAAGCCTGTACAGACAGCATCAAGCCTGGACAGACAGCATCAAGCCTTGACAGACAGCATCAAGCCTGTACAGACAGCATCAGGCCTGTACAGACACAGTGTCAAGCCTGTACAGACACAGTGTCAAGCCTAGACAGACACAGTGTCAAGCCTGTACAGACACATGATCAAGCCTGGACAGAGACAGTGTCAACCTGAACAGATACAGTGTCAAGCCTAGACAGACACAGTGTCAAGCCTAGACAGACACAGTGTCAAGCCTTGACAGACACAGTGTCAAGCCTTGACAGACACAGTGTCAAGCCTAGACAGACACAGTGTCAAGCCTTGACAGACACAGTGTCAAGCCTGTACAGACACAGTGTCAAGCCTAGACAGACACAGTGTCAAGCCTGTACAGACACAGTGTCAAGCCTGTACAGACACAGTGTCAAGCCTGGACAGACACAGTGTCAAGCCTGTACAGACACAGTGTCAAGCCTGTACAGACACAGTGTCAAGCCTGGACAGACACAGTGTCAAGCCAGGACAGACACAGTGTCAAGCCTGTACAGACACAGTGTCAAGCCTGTACAGACACAGTGTCAAGCCTGTACAGACACAGTGTCAAGCCTGTACAGACACAGTGTCAAGCCTGTACAGACACAGTGTCAAGCCTGTACAGACACAGTGTCAAGCCAGGACAGACACAGTGTCAAGCCAGGACAGACACAGTGTCAAGCCTGTACAGACACAGTGTCAAGCCTGGACAGACACAGTGTCAAGCCTGGACAGACACAGTGTCAAGCCTGTACAGACACAGTGTCAAGCCTGTACAGACACAGTGTCAAGCCTGTACAGAAGCCACAGACACAGTGTCAAGCCTGTACAGACACAGTGTCAAGCCTGTACAGACACAGTGTCAAGCCAGGACAGACACAGTGTCAAGCCAGGACAGACACAGTGTCAAGCCTGAGACAGACACAGTGTCAAGCCTGTACAGACACAGTGTCAAGCCTGGACAGACACAGTGTCAAGCCTAGACAGACACAGTGTCAAGCCTGTACAGACACAGTGTCAAGCCAGGACAGACACAGTGTCAAGCCTGTACAGACACAGTGTCAAGCCTGGACTGCACAGCAGTGTTTGACCTGTGTGAAAGTCCAGGTTTATATCTGGATGCTGAGTATTGAGTTACAATACAATTGAGTAACCCTGTGATAGCCTCGATTTGCCTCAGTGCACGAATGAGTCTGCAACACATATTTGACAATCACTAAATATTGTGCTTTTTTAACTTAATACTATCCATATTCAGTGTGCCTTGCATGTTGATCATTGTGATGCAGAGCTCAGCAAGATGTAAAGCTGATGTGTAGCCATGTGCTCATCTATAGCCTTCACCCCAGTGATTTAATGGACAATGCTGCCACACAGTCAGAACCTTCTAGTTAAATGTCAGGTCAGGTGTATTCTTCTGTACATTCACCAGTAGGATTGTGTGTTGTGGTGACAGTTGTAACGAGAGATGTTCCACCTGTGTTTCAGTCTGGAATGGTGTGCTGTTCATCCGGCAGGGATTGTACCAGGAGGGTGTGTTCCGGTTCACACTCACCATCCCAGACAACTTCCCCGATACAGACTGTGACTGTCCTGTAAGTACTCTGGTCTTGTATAACCCATTGTTTGTCTCCCCATGAAGCTATTACTGGACCAAACATTTAAGAGAACCCTCAATTATCTCCCCAAAATGCTTCTCAAAGACAAAACGTGTCCCAGAGACCCTTCCTTTCTCCTCATAATATTATTCAAGGAAGAACAGGACCCAGTATGCCTACTTTTCTCCTCATTGTATTGAAGGACGGCACAGGTCCCAGTACCACTGCTTGTTCCCGAGTGGTATTCAGCCACAGCACATGTCCCAGTACCCCTGCTTGTTCCCGAGTGGTATTCAGCCACAGCACATGTCCCAGTACCCCTGCTTGTTCCCGAGTGGTATTCAGCCACAGCACATGTCCCAGTACCCCTGCTTGTTCCCCAGTGGTATTCAGCCACAGCACATGTCCCAGTACCCCTGCTTGTTCCCGAGTGGTATTCAGCCACAGCACATGTCCCAGTACCCCTGCTTGTTCCCGAGTGGTATTCAGCCACAGCACATGTCCCAGTACCCCTGCTTGTTCCCGAGTGGTATTCAGCCACAGCACATGTCCCAGTACCCCTGCTTGTTCCCCGAAAGTGGTATTCAGCCACAGCACATGTCCCAGTACCCCCTGCTTTCCCGAGTGGTATTCAGCCACAGCACATGTCCCAGTACCCCTGCTTGTTCCCGAGTGGTATTCAGCCACAGAACAGGTCCCAGTACCCCTGCTAGTTCCCGAGTGGTATTCAGCCACAGAACAGGTCCCAGTACCCCTGCTTGTTCCCGAGTGGTATTCAGCCACAGAACATGTCCCAGTACCCCTGCTTGTTCCCGAGTGGTATTCAGCCACAGCACATGTCCCAGTACCCTGCTTGTTCCCGAAAGTGGTATTCAGCCACAGCACATGTCCCAATGCCCTGCTTGTTTCGAGTGGTATTCAAATACAGTACCCCTGCTGCTTGTTCCCGAGTGGTATTCAGCCACAGCACATGTCCCAGTACCCCTGCTTGTTCCCGAGTGGTATTCAGCCACAGCACATGTCCCAGTACCCCTGCTAGTTCCCGAGTGGTATTCAGCCACAGAACAGGTCCCAGTACCCCTGCTTGTTCCCGAGTGGTATTCAGCCACAGAACAGGTCCCAGTAGCCCTGCTAGTTCCCGAGTGTTTGTGCCTATAAGTATGAGTTCTGTTATTCTCATTTCAGAGCGTGGTGTTCGAGTACCCCATGTTCCATCCTTTAGTCCATCCAGTGTCTGGCCTGCTAGACGTGAAGAAGGGCTTCCCCAAGTGGAGGTAACTCTCCATAATGGCAATTACTCATGTACTTACTGCAGAAAATTAGAACAATGTTACAGTATCTAGCTGTGGGTATATAGGAATTACTATTAGTTTCCTTTAGTGTGCTTTGGACATCGAGAATCAGGGCCCAACTTGCCTGACTTTATTATGTGAGTTTACTAGATAAAAAGACAAAATATTACCTTCTGTTGTCTGTTAACAATCATAACATTTGGCAGAATCAATTTTCATTAAATTTTCTTATATTGTTCGAAAAAATTAATATAGCTTCAAAAAGGTGTAAACATCATGAGTGTGACCAGATGGTGACAGAGTTGTTTACTTCCTTGTTCTGGGTTAGATCACACTTGGGACACGCCCTCTGACTGCTGCTGTATCAATACATCAATGTATTTTCTGACACATTAACAGCACAGAAGAAATATATTGTTTCCAGCTCTTTGTTCTGATTTTGAGATACTTTATTTTGACAGGCGCAATGTGAACCACATCTGGCAGGTTTTACTGTATGCAAGAAGGATATTCTACAAGATAGAGACAAAGGCTCCCTTGAATCAAGAAGCAGCTGATTTGTGAGTTGTCTCCCTTTGTATGCTCTTGATGACTGCATAAACCCATGATAAAGAGTGAGTGAGTGAGTTGAGTTTTACGCCGCACTCGGCAATATTCCAGCTATATGGCGGCGGTCTGTAAATAACCGAGTCTGGACCAGACAATCCTGTGATCAACAGCATGAGCATCGATCGGTGCAATTGGGAACCGATGACATGTGTCAACCAAGTCAGCAAGCATGGCCACCCGATCCCGTTAGTCGCTTCTTACGACAAGCATGGGTTACTGAAGATCAGTATTCTAACCCGGACATTGACGGGTCCCATGATAGAGAAGTTTCATTAGTAAACCCATGATGTTCATATGAGATAATTTAAGGAATTGCTGACTTGGTTGGTGCGTGTCATCACATCCTAATTGATTCATATGATGTCAATCACAAGATTGTCTTGACCAAACTATTTATAGGCCCCACCTTACTCTTGGAATGTTGCCAAGTGCAGTGTTTAACAGTGATGATAAAACAAACAACCAATCTGATGTCATTGTGTTGCTATAGATACTATTGTGTTGCTATAGATACCACCAGGACCCCGGACGACTACAAGAAGCGGGTAGCAGAGTCAGTCCAGGCATCGAAGGAGCGGATCTATGAACCGCCAGCGTCTGATGACCCCTATGCAATAAGGTAGGAGTTTATTGAGCAATTTGTTGATTTGCATGTAATCAAGTTTCCAATGTATTAAGGGAGAGAGAAACATAAATGAGTCAGGATAAGTATAAAATAATAATAAAACATTTCCTTAAAAGTAGATATTCACACTACTATCAGATCTGATATTGTATATAATCTAATATGAGCAACACAGTGCTACAATGACACATTTCTGCTAGAACTGAATTTTGGGAACAATACAGTTCATTACCTCCCTCCGTGAAGATCCAGGTTAGAAGTGGGTTTCAGTAACCCATGCTTGTCGTAAGATGCGACTAATGGGATCGGGTGGTCAGGCTTGCTGATTTGGTTGACACATGTCATCATATCCCAATTGTGTAGATTGATGCTCATGCTGTTGATCACTGGATTTTCTGGTCCAGACTTGATTATTTACAGACCACCGCCATTATAGCTGGAATATTGCTGAGTGCTGGGTAAACAACAAATCAACCAACCAATCTCACTATATACTTCTGTACATATAAAACACAGAAAGTGGTCATGTAGGTTTTGTGTGGAAAAAAACATCAGTTGTTTTATAAACAGAGAATGTGGCTTGTGTCTTTTTCTATTAAATGTATTTGAAACTGTTATTGACGAGTGTTGATATATTCGATATCAAATAACATAATAGTAACATTCTATGTATCATCCAACAAAATTCCTCCAACTACTTCAGTTTGAGGGGCAGTGGGGTAGCCTAGTGGTTAAAGCATTTGCTTGTCACGCTGAAGACCCAGGTTCGATTCCCCACAAGGGTACAATGTGTGAAGCCCATTCTGGTGTCACCCGCCGTGATGTTGCCTGAATATTGCTAAAGCTGCATAAAACCAAACTCATTCACTCACTGGCTCACTCACTCACTCACTCACTCACTCACTCACCTCACTCACTCACTCACTCACTCACTCACTCACTCACTCACTCACTCACTCACTCACTCACTCACTTTTCAGTTTGAAAACAGTGAAAAGCTGCAACCTTCATTGGCTGAGAGATTTGATGTCATTTGACTGTGATGTTGTAGTACCTGATGACATCACACTGGTCTGCAAAGCAGTGTGATGCAATTTCATTGTTGTGACATCTGGGAAATATTGAATGATGCCAGTCAACCGTATCTCCTGTGTTAGCCAGTTTTGAATAATACATTCTATGGTTAAATTTGTAATGTGAATTTTTACTTGAGTTGTTTGTTCCATTGCAGGTTCAGTGAGTGGCAGCCTCTGGTGCATGAGGAGTCCCTGCAGGAGATGCTGGAGTCTAAGGTATATGTAGTTCCAGGTAATCTTGCTGTGACGATGTGTTGCCCTCATCTGCTGCCACACTCGCACAGCATCTCTTCTCTAGAGGTGTCCACAGCACAGCATCTCACCTCTAGGGGTGTCACACTTCTCACCATCTCACTAGGGTGTCACACAGCACAGCATCTCACCTCTAGGGTGTCACACATCTCACCATCTCACTAGGGTGTCACACAGCACAGCATCTCACCTCAGGGGTGTCACACATCTCACTAGGGTGTCACATAGCACAGTATCTCACCAGGGGTGTCACACAGCACAGCATCTCACGTCTTGGGGTGTCACACAGCAGCATCTCACCTCTTGGGGTGTCACACAGCACAGCATCTCACCTCTTGGGGTGTCACACAGCACACAGCATCTCACCTCTTGGGGTGTCACACAGCACACAGCATCTCACCTCTTGGGGTGTCACACAGCACAGCATCTCACCTCTTGGGGGTGTCACACAGCACACAGCATCTCACCTCTTGGGGTGTCACACAGCACAGCATCTCACGTCTTGGGGTGTCACAGCACACAGCATCTCACCTCTTGGGGTGTCACACAGCACACAGCATCTCACCTCTTGGGGTGTCACACAGCACACAGCATCTCACCTCTTGGGGTGTCACACAGCACAGCATCTCACCTCTTGGGGTGTCACACAGCACAGCATCTCACCTCTTGGGGTGTCACACAGCACAGCATCTCACCTCTTGGGGTGTCACACAGCACAAATTTCAACGCTAGGAAGTTACTCTCACTGTTAGCATTAAAAGCCTTTTCAAGTTTATGACAGCCAGAAAATGTTCTCCCGTCACCAGAGTGATGAAACTTGTAATATTGGTGTGACTCATAAATCAAGACCCCTCCCATCTCTTGTATCATCACTGTCATATCCTCCACTTACAGTATTTGGCTTTCTTTTTGGTCGGTAATAATGGCATTGTTGTTGTCAATACATTTAATATTTTCCACCAGTTTGAAATATTGCAGTGTTTTCAGAGAGTTTTTGTGCCCTATGTGATGTTTGTGTCATGTGTCCATTCTTGTAACCCGTGAAGGTCCGGGTTAGAATATTGATCTTCAGTAACCCATGCTTGTCATAATAGGCGACTAACCGGATGGGATTGGGTGGTCAGACTCACTGACTTGGTTGACACATGTCATCGGTTCCCAATTACGCAGATCGATGCTCATGCTGTTGATCACTTGATTGTCTGGTTCAGACTCGATTATTTACAGACCGCCATATAGCTGGAATATTGCTGAGTGCGACGTAAAACTAAACTCACTCACTCACTCTTCATTCTTGTAATTTGCTTCAAAGTTTAATTGAACTGCAGCGTTCTCAACGAACCTTCTGTTTTAAGTCTTTGATGTCTGACTTTCAGACAAGCCAAGGTGAAAGTCGCAGTGGGAGTCCACCATCTTTAGGCCTGTCCTGGGTTTCTCTGGAAACAACGCAGATCTTGTCCCGTGAAGACCCAGCCACAGCATAGCAGGAAGTGCTCAGACCGGAGGAGGGGAGTTTGTGTCTGATCGAAGAGATGGTCTGTGATTAGCTCAGACACTCCCAGGGATTGCATGTCCTTAGGACAAGTGATTTTATTCAATGAGGATTCTGAATGACAGACGCTGGATTTGTGCATCATACCTTAAGGAAATTTGCATGTGTCAGTCTGTGTGTAACATCGCCATGGCAATAGTGAGCATCAGTGACCATCATGGTTCTTGACTATAAATAGAAACAATTAAACACCTAAAAGGAAGCAGGACAATATCGGCTTCAAAGAGGATGCATGATTCAGACTGTGATCACTGCCATTTTCTCATTTTTTTCAAATATTTTGAAAAATACTTCTGAACATTGCTATATTCCTTTGGTCCCACTCACTGGGAAGAAGCTGAAATGTTAACCAAGATGGTTGTACCCAACTGAAGAGGACCAACTCGTCCATGTACACCTGACTTCAGCATCAGGAACTTAATATCACTACAGAAAGTCACGGAAAATACAATGGGGACTGATGTTGAGAATCTTTTATTCGATTGCTTTTTGTGAATGAACACTTTAGCTGCATTTTTTTAATGAGTTTATGTGCTATCTTGTAATGTCAACAAAATGTTGGCTTGGTCTAAAAGGGCAACAGTTCTTCAACAAATAATAATTCTGAAACAAACAAATAGACCATCCTCCCTGTCACTTTTATTCAAACCCAGCTGTTTTTATTTAATCCTCCCACCTTGCAATATACATCATTTTTAAGTTGCATGTTGTTTGATGGGGCTTTGCATGAACATGATCATCTATATAACAGTATCACTTCGGCTTGTCAAACTTTTAGTTCATTTGTGTGATAATAGGAACTTGATTTGTACTTGTTTAAGATAACGTTGCATTTTCATGATTGTGTTTTAGAGTTGAGTTTGACGTGTTTGTGCCCACATTGAAACAGGACCAACATATGCGGACATTGAAGATGTGTGTACTAACATGGTTCTGGGCCCTGTCTGAGTTAGGTAGGTAGGTGGTAGGCGAGTAGATGCAGCATAGGGGTTGACATGTTGACTGTGGAACCATGGTCGAGGGATGTACTGACATTGATCTGGGCCCTGTCTGAGTTAGGTAGGTAGGTGGTAGGCGAGTAGCTGCAGCATAGGGGGTGACATGTTGACTGTGGAACCATGGTCGAGGGGTGTACTGACATTGTTCTGGGCCCTGTCTGAGTTAGGTAGGTAGGTGGTAGGCGAGTAGCTGCAGCATAGGGGGTGACATGTTGACCGTGGAACCATGGTCGAGGGGTGTACAGGGGACATGTAGCTCATAATGTACTACCAACTACTGACAAAATTTGAAATATAAAATTAGAACTTCACTAGTTTCCAAAATGTTTATTGAAATAGTTGTGTGGGATAAGATGACAGCTAAAGGTATGAGTAAGTGGCGTCATGGTCAGATGTCAGTAGACTGAACGTTGTAATAGAGAGACCTGTTGTTCAGAGGCAAGGTGTATGGCCAGTAACATCTGTACATACATCTACACTGGTGAACAGGACTTAGTTTGTTACAATGTAAAATGTTGTCAATACAGGTTATGTAAATACTGCTAATGGATAATTTTGATCCTGCCTGGAACAAGGTTCATGAGCAGCACCCTTAGCTCAGTCAGTGTTCTCAATTTTTTCAAGATCTGTCTTCAAGGTCATTGGTGAAGAGGGGACAAGATACATTGTAGTGTGAAAGGTAGCACCCAGGAGCATGTTTGATTGTCATTGTCAAAATATTTTAATCATCATTGTATGATATACTACTCAAAAGCAGTTAAGATCATTCAATCCTTTCATGTCAAGACTTTACCTTTTGCGATATGAAAGAATTGCGGTCTTTTCCTTCTTTTGCATAGTAAATGATAAGATTATGTGTCACATCATAATACTGTGGAAGGTTTTTTGATATTATGGCTGCAAAACAAGAAATGGCACTAAACATGACATTGTAGAAAGTTGCCCAATCCCCAAACGTCTAGTCCTGTGGTTGTCATGACCCACTGTATGACGAGATTATTGTTGCCAGTCTGGAGGAACTATCTATGCATAGGAATACATGTAGGTGCCTTTATTCCAGTCATGTTGTTTGTGTGGATACAGTGTCCAGTTGCACGGACATCTCAGGGCCCCAAGTCATGTGTTCCCAACGTAGGAATGCTTCATTACAGGAAATGTTCATGGACAGGGATGACATTAGTTGGTTTCATATTCCGGGAAGCCCAGTTGTTTTAGGAACTGCAATTTGCTCTACAGAGTTACCTCCCTTAGAAATATGTGAGTTTGAATCCAAGATTTCATCATACTAGTGCTTATGGTAAAGTGTTAATGTGTAAGACCAGTGTCACTTGAGGATTTCCCCCTCATTTAGACACATGCTGTAATAGAGCTGAAATATTGCTGACAACAGCATTACGCCAAACTGACGGGATGCTAGCCCTCTGTGCAGGACTGGAACAACTTCACTAACTATATCCACCGATACTAATCAAACACAGTGAAATGGTATCCTTGGATCTAAAAGTTCTTTGGTCATGTAGGTTCTAAGATTATGGTAAAGACAGTTCAACACTGGGTGCCTGTACATAGTTGACACAGTTGTCAACACAATAGCAATATGCCCCGAGTTGTAAGTGCATGAGTGACAAATAAAGGCTCCACAATTGCACTTTAAGGGTCAGTTTGCAATGTCCAATTATGTAATATTATCTTAATTATTTACGTTAGTAATGACATTATTAAGTATCAAAGATGAAAGGGATTCTAAAGAATTTTGTGTGGTGTAATCATTATAATTACAAGCATGGGTAGAAGGGTAATTGTATGTTGCTTGTGATGTTGAGAGCTTTCTCTAGCAATAGACATGAGTGTTTTGTAATTAGAAAGCATCGTCAGTCAGAATCAAAACAGACTGCTTATTTTGATATTCATGTACCTAAATGCAAATAATGTATGACTTCTCAATGAAAGTATGCACCAGCTACCATTTTTACAGCATGTCGTAAAATGATACTAGCTGTTTTTTCAATGAATATTACAATGAACAACTGATTCTGCTTCTATGAAAATTTCAAATTTCATGTACAAAGAGAAATATTTGGTGAAGGATGTGTAATTTTTACTGTTTAATTTATACATTTGTTTGATGGAAAAGCATGTTATTTTCATATTTGACACGTTTCATATTCCATCGTCTATCAACATGAACATGTAAACCATTGTGAATAAAGATACCTTACAGGAGAATTATCACTTCTTGTGATGTAAACCTTATGGATGACTGTCTACCATGAAGGGGCTGTGGGGTAGCCTAGTTGTTAAAACATTCACTCGTCACGCTGAAGTGGAGTTGGGCTTTATGTCATATCGGCATTATTCCAGCCATAGAGTGACAAGATCAAGTCTGCATTTATAAACATTTTAAGTACAAAGACCCGGGTTCAATTCCCTACAAGGGTACAATGTGTGAAGCCCATTTGTGGTGTCCCCTGCCGTAATATTGCTGGAATATTGCTAAAAGCAGAGTAAAACCAAACTCACTCATTGTGAAACTCTACAACAAAAATAGTTTGCCAGGTTTGTATGTAGGAGTCTGAATGAGTGAGTGACACTGGTTCAACACCACTTGAATAGTATTTCAGTGGTTACCCTTATGTGTCGGAGTCCGCTAGATGTGGCAGGGACGCATGAAGGGATACAGGTCCTCGATGTTTATCACCTTTGAAACATGTCTTTGACATGATGAGCAAACACTATTACCACAAGGCTAGCCCACTGACCCAGGCTGCTAGGAAGCTGAAGGGAAGCAACTCTGCCAAGCACATTGCATTGTTTTAACACTAGGCTGCCTGTTCCTTCCAAAGCTAGGTGTTCTGGGCCAGACTGATGGATTATGAACATGGGAAATCCAGTCTGACACTGGCTGGCGAGGATGACCAAATAACTGAAGTAACCATTAGTGCTGAATGGTACTCAGTTCTCCATGCTTGTCAAATAGGTTGACTGTGGCTCATGAGTGAGTTTAGTTTTACACTGCTTTTAGCAATATTCTGGCAACATCAAGGTGGGGGACACCAGAAATGACATGTGGCTCATGTATATAGTGGTGCTCCATGCTTGTCCAGTTTGTTGCATTTGTGTGGCAGCTGAAAGAGTATAATACCGGGTATGTTCATTCTGTCAAAACCAACAGCTACTGATTCACCTGCTTTACCATGGGACATCCATTTTCACATAGACTTCCTGAAGTGACCCAAAATACTGCTGATTGGTGACCCAGTGAAATATTGTAAATGTGAGTGTAGTCAACAATGTTCAGGTAAATTACAGTACAGGATTCCGCTTCAACATACATATAAATCTGTAAGTGGCGACTAGTAAAGTATGCTGAGAGGGCAAGTGGATTTCCCTCTGAACTACCATATGTTACCATGCACCTAATGATTACTCTGTGGAACATAATTTTTACAGACTAATATAAATACTAATAATTTTCCAACGGTAGTCTGAAAATAAAACAAAGCATGCCATACCTCCTCCACATGAGTTAGCTCTTGTGACATATGCATGTGGTGCTGACTCCCATTCTTCTCATGGCTTCCCAGAACAGTATAAAAGACAAGGCTGATATTAAAGCTTTGCTTTATTCCAATGATAATGTTTATATACAGACATGAGGGTGTAGAGGGGACACAAGATATGCAGTGGATGTATTGGAAGGCAGACCGACAGACTGGCAACTGAGGTATTGGCAACATAAAAGTTGAGATCATTGTGGAACAGTGGAACTAGAATGCATGCTCCAGCAAACAGCACGAACAGAAGGCAAGCACACATATTGTATTGACAAACTACCTCTTCCTGACACAGGGTTGAGCAAAAACTAGTCATTGCCACTTATTATGAAGATATACAGTATCATAAAAAGTTTGCATACTGAAATAAATAATATTACTGGAATTACAACATATTTGAGTAGACAGCAACTTGATGGTGTTCTACTGTTTGGGCCTCCATCAGAAAACCTGGCCTCGCTTGGAACATCATCTTCGGCTGTTCACGCCACCAACCTGAAAAAGTGGGGCTATGGAGGAAGTGTTCCTGCTTCACACTGCAATCACTACTTCACATTCCTCTCAACACAGCTGTAGGCCTACCTGTCATATATACCTCAGAACATTTTTCCTATGACCTACAAATGCTTTCAAACTACCCTACAAATGATTCCTCTGGCCAAGAAAGTAGGAGTTTTCAAGCCTGACCTTCCTATACTACAAAGTTTGATGTTCTTGTGTAATTCAGTCAGATAAATGTGCCGAATCACTGAGGTGTGTATTTATTTACCACTTCCCACAAAACATCAATACATGCTGTACAAATCAACAGGCCAGGGTAACTTAACCATAAGAATTTCATCCCATCTATACGTCCAATCCTAGCATTTCCTTCTTAAAACTACATTCAATGTCAAACTATATTTCAGTAACTGAAATAATAGGAAAAAGCTGTCTTCATAAAATAAGGTGGAGGTTTTGAAATAGGTAAGCAGGAACAAAATGTCATACTTGTATATGGTCCTTCTTTATCAAATCATACATACCCATTGTTTTGCATCACATCTTTCTCCAGGCTAAACAAAACTAAAGTAACATATCATGCCACCTTTTCAGGCACAAGTAGGCTAGTTCATCAATCTCATAAGTAGAGGTAAGTATGTTTTATACTGGTTTTGACACCTCTCCAGATCTGACAACCCCTCCAGAGATTGTCTCAGGAGAATCCAGACTGAAACAGACAGCAGAATACCAGTAACACAAAGGAAATTTTGGCTCTTATAACTCTAATAGATCCAGCTATAGTTTTTCACCTGGATTCAAAATTTCAATCTTTACAAAAGAAAACAAACAAAACAAATATTCCTCAGAAATGCAATGGTGTAGAAAATATCTACAACATGAAGGTGCAGATCCTTATTACATCACATGTACAGAGAATATAGAAGATAGATGCTGTTCATAGGAACTGGAGAGTTGCCAGATCTTCATGTAGAGAGGTATCATGTCAGACTAAAAGATAGGATTTTACTAGATAATCTAATAACTATTCTAAATTTAATATAAGGATTTTCATACATATAACATTATCTTTATAATGACATTGCAGTATTATGATAAAAATATAGGTATGTTTAACAGATTATATATTTTCTTATTGTCCGATACACGTACACAATTCTTCCATGCAATACATTACAAGTATTCAAGTTACACTGTCTCTAAGTTATCCCTGACTAGGCTGGAATGGCTTGTCCATGTGCCCTTATCAGCTGCTACATATCCATTATTGGGGTGATATCTTGGTGCCAACAAATCCTCCACTTTCAGGCTGACTTGTGTGATAGATGAATGTGATATGAACAGCAGACCTTAGAAGAACATATCACCTTTGGCAAACTGAGTATGTGATAAATATGAACCTTTGAATATATGTGACCACAGACAACTCAGGAAATTCTCGTTATGTCTAATTAACCTGTAAGCAATGGTAAAATTATTACAAGGAGGAACAATTTTCTGGTGGAATCATGCATGATAAAAATTAAACCGAAGTTTGATCAGTTTATATTGTCTTAAAATAATTTTAAAAATCCTTAGTCTTCATTCAACCTTGACAATGTTCTATATGTATTTTGCCACCTTCATTTTGTGATTACAGACCAAGAAACCAAGAAATTACACAGGTCGGGCCTTAAATAGAAAAATACTTGGTAAACCTTAAATAATCTGTATGCTAATCCATGTATGTTCTGGTTAAGATGTCTTTGGTAAGAGTGAGTGAGTGAGGGGGGCTCAACACCACTTCCATCAGTATTACAGTTATGATTGAGGGAAAAGTTTGAGCTGATGAAGGTTTCAGACCTTGACCACTCTGGTGAAACCCATGAGCTGATGAAGGTTTCAGACCTTGACCACTCTGGTGAAACCCATGAGCTGATGAAGGTTTCAGACCTTGACCACTCTGGTGAAACCCATGAGCTGATGAAGGTTTCAGACCTTGACCAAACCCATGAGCTGATGAAGGTTTCAGACCTTGACCACTCTGGTGAGCTGATGAAGGTTTCAGACCTTGACCACTCTGGTGAAACCCATGAGCTGATGAAGGTTTCAGACCTTGACCACTCTGGTGAAATCCATGAGCTGATGAAGGTTTCAGACCTTGACCACTCTGGTGAAACCCATGAGCAGAAGTATGGTGCTCAGAAACCAAAACAAGATGGTTGGAACAAACCAGGATTTGAACCAACTACCACAGGGTTCTGTTATGCCCACAACGAACTGCATTACCTTAGACGACTTGCTCACCTATGTCCTCTCTTTGGTAAGAAAGGAATCCATCTTATCGTAAAAACTTCATGACACATTTTAACGAGAATGTAGTTACATGGTGATGAGATGACAAACATGAGACCCAGTTGACCATTACAGTCATTACAAGTCCTAAGTAAATATTGTGAATGCCAGTTATGAACTTAGTGACATCAACATTAATTGGTATATGCTGGTAACATTATATCCTCTCCAATCAACATGACAATGAAAGGTGACTAGTTCATAGAAAGTAGTACACTTATTATTACCCTTTTCATATACCTCCACCCTAAGACTGTAGGAAAGATAACATACACAGAAAAACCATCCTAGGTGCCCAATATGTCAAAGTCCTTGTAAGACCCTAGCATGAATATAGGAGTAACAGAAATGCAATCATTGTTGAACATGAAACTCTCCCACCTGTTGTCTGCTGAGGCAATGTAGCCAAAATAGTTTCCACTACCTTACTACATGCAGTATTTCACTAAACCCTCAACACTGGCTAGAAATGGCAGGACAGATCAACAATAGTAATATGAAAAAATCAGATGCGCTCAACTTCTTTTAAATAGCATATTTGTAAAAATAATAAAGTTTGTTTTGGAAATGATATCTTGAAATGTATTTTGGGATCACTGAACCTTAATACATAGGATTATCAAGAAATTTTATGTTTGCAAAATTGCTTTTGTGTTCGAGTGTATGAAGTTTAATGACGATTGACCATGAATAGTTTACAATCTGTGGGTCTCTACTGCACTTGAGCTGTTGCTCTAGGTCAGTGTTTGAAAACAAATATCTGTCTCCAAATAAACTTCTTGGTCATATGAACTAAAAAGGAACCTGAACACAAATGATATTTGTTTTGTTTTTTAGAATCTAAATCTTATTAACAAGGTAATGTCTAACAGTTTTGGAATATGAAGTACTTACTGAATTTGAATGTTCTCGTTGAGAGATATGGGTTGGTGTTTAAGATGCTATTATTTGTTCATAAAGATTCCTATAACTCAACTGAAAGCAGTTGTAACATCACAACACACGGTTACCAGTATCATGTCCCTGTTCGGAACTCACCACAACCACAGCTCGGCCCAAACTGTGAACATGCAACACTTTTCACATCTCTGAGTCATCATCGCAAAAAATATATTTTTTGTACAAAGATTTCAGAAATCCACATCGTAAGAAAAACATTGGCCATTTAAAGTTGAATTTCAATCACCTGAAGACTGTAAGCTTCCATGCATAATATAATTGTCAACCAAGTTTGAAATAATCTCAATGAAATGGCAATTTAAAAACAATTTCTAAAAAACCTTCCTTTTTGTTTCGTTCATGACACTTGCATAGTTCCTTATTCACAATAGGATTGCTCTCTCTCTCTCGTTCTCTCTTTCTCTCTCTCCAGCCTACAACAGACTGCCAATATTTATGTACATTAAAACATATGCCATCCTAATTAACAAGTGAATACAGAAGTGATATTAAGATATAGAAATGAAGATAAATCTCACTGAGGTTTTATGTGGTTCACTTTACAGACATTGCTCAATGAAACTTCACAGCTGTATTTCTCATCTTCATTAAAGACACCACTAGTAAATTTTACAGTGCTTTCACTAGTCAAGAACAGCTTTTTTTGGCACAGTTGGTACAAAATATGTGGGTTAAAATATATTTGTTACTGGGTATTTCAAAAATCTACATTTCTGAAATGAGGAAATGATAACATTGCCGTTTTAAAACTTTTGATAATATTAATCATATATTTAACATATCATGCAATAACAGATTCTTCAACGTCTGTCTTGATGTACATAAAACCTTAATAAGATCAAGCAGTGAAAAACATCTGATCACAAGAAAAAGATCTCAGCTAGAGGAAAGGCTCATGCAAAGTAACAGAATCAAAATGTCTTCGTAAACCCTACATAACAGATGAACAATAAAACTCACAGATATGCTTTGAAAAATTGGATAAGTTAAAATCAATTGTTCATATAAAATGTACCAAATTAATTATTTGTTCATTGTCAAGTATCAGTACCACAATGATAAAACACAGGGACCATCCCTGCTCCATCTCAATAACTGCCAAACTTCCATCCGAGCAATCGTAACTCACGGACTTACAACAGTCAAAGCACTACGTTTGTGGGACAGACCCTGAGTAAGAATCTCAGCTAATACAACACAAATTGCACAGTTTGTTCTATACAACTCATGCCACAACAGATTCACAACAGTAATATGAAAGAATCGGGTGGTTCTTAATAGTTTTAGAAGTATGAATAGGTGGGCAGAACGAGGATGGAAGTCTGGTAGTTTCATCAATAACAGTATCATCATCCTAGAGAAGAAAACACTGCCTCACAACATAGCCTGTACAGACTGTTCATGGATTGTGCTTCCTGTATTTACAAGGACAAAACTCTAAAAACATCGGACTGACACATAATTCTTGAAAAGGTTCTATGAAACTCGGCCATTCCCTGTATAAACAAGGGTAACGAAGTGATGGCAAGCTATAGTCTAACTGTAATACTTGTCCCAGACAGAGATGTAATGGTTCCATGCCTCTCACAAAGTGTAGTCATTCAGGGGCTTCATAATGCTAATATATACATAGTTGTTTTGTGCAATAAGTTCCACTTGAATCATAAACATTTGGACAGAAAACTAGAATATCAGTAAACATGATACAGTCACCTAGGACAACTCAAACACCACAGTATCTTACCAATTAGCAATTCCTGTTCTCACAAAAATGTAAACTGTCAACAAGACTTGCTGTCTAGAAACATCACGTTTCAACATGATACATAATGTGATACAACATAGAGTATCATCATACATGCTGACAAATATACACCTGGATAATAGTCAAGCACCACTCTTGGGTAATCCATTATCCTGAACCTTCATGATCATTTGGAAATAACTGCCTGAATTTGATCTACTTTCAACGCAGTTGAAGGGGAGCCAAATAATTATTGATTATGAAATTATTATATAATAATATTACTAGATTTTCACTTTATGACTATGAGAAAAGAGAATGTCACTCTGTCCACAAACACAAAGTAATGTGCAGTGGTTGTAGTGAGCAGTGAGGACTGCCAAGTGTATATTTGTGATTAAGGACACCGAGATGGTCATACACAGTCTGTGATGCTTTTCAATTGAAATTCATTAAATTCTGTATGGTCCTTTTCATAATGAGGTCTCATATCAGTATTGATGTATCATGATACAAATCTGTAACCTTCCCTGATAGTAGCCTATATTCACACACACAGCATCTGGGACATGCTGCCAGGGACTGTATCTTCTTATGTTCATTCTACACCAGCACTATCAGGTGTATTATATTTCCTTTGTCTTATAATAAACACATGGAGCTCCTCGCCATCACACCTTTTCTGTGACTTAAATGACACAGTACTAAGAATAGCTATCCAGTCAAATTACTCTTTCCTTTCTTGAACTGAAAAGAGTGGTCACGTCTACAGAACCTGACTCTATTTTTGTATATTATCTTACATATGTGTGGAACACCTAGTAGCTTGAGGAGTTTCATGGTGTATAACAATTTAATCTGATTTTGATTAAGGTGAGAGAGCTGGTGACATGACTCCCAGGAAGCACATACAGTGAGGAATGTGTTCAGGGTACACATAAGGAATAGGAAACATAATACACTGGATAATTCCTGGTTGACACTACTGGCACTAGCAATCACAATCATCTCTAACAAAATACACTGACGAATCACACATGTCTCAGTGTAAATGTCAAGGCAACCTGAACTCCTGTACATCATGTCACTCATAGTTAATATTTCCTGCCTAAGATGACACTGTCAGCTCTCTTCCATGCAGTCTCTATCAATTCAAAACAATTTCCTTCTATATAAAATAATGTACAAAACTAAAGATCACATAGTTTGTTGACCATGTTTTGTAAGTAGATACAGACAGATCCTTACAGTTCTGTTGCCACAGCATTCGTTCCACTTTCTATTCTGGTGATTCACCTTTCAATATTTACACCCCAAATTATTAATTACCACTGTTCATAATCAAATACAGCTCACCTTAGAAGTCTTGATTCAGAAAGCAACAAGATTTAAGTTAATTGTGTACTCCTGTCATGCTAATATACATGTGAAATTTATTTGATATTTATGTATAAAAACATCTACAATCCGAGGAATTAAAATCTATAAAAAGGCTCAGTGAAATGTATCATGGGAGTTAAAGCTTTATCATAATGAACATTTCAGCTATAATCCCTTTCCTTTTCATTTTATGACATTCCATATCAAAATCTTGATTATGCCAATGATCTCAGTTTATTGTTTGCAATACTTACAAGCCTTCCCTGTGTTAAACATTCAAATATACAGCTAGTTTGTACACAAGTGTTTACATGTATACACAGACATATAGGACAAGGTACAAGGGTATTCAAGCACTGAACGACTTCCATCCACATTACCACAGTTAACTGCTGTCTGCTTGGGTTACATGAACATTTTTCTCCTTTCTTTCAATAAATAACAGCATTTTCACTTTTCTGTCTCACTTCACTGAATATATAGAATTTCAACTCAAATAATACATTCAACACAATTAACAATGAGAGCAATATCTTATTCTTTTCATAAAAAGTCTGCGTGAAAACTTTACCCTCAAATGACTCCATCATTCATACTTTGGCTACTGCTACAGTAGGAATCATCCAAGCTTTGGGGTTTGTGAAACAGGTCAAGGTTGAACTAAATATTTTCTAAATAATAGCATGTTTATCTAACCTTCATCTACTTCTTAAATACTTGTTTGTTTTCTGTTCAAACATTAGCACTTGTACGACTGAATTTATCACATCAACACTGACAATTCCATATATAAAAGGCAACTATCATATAAAATAGAGATTAAAACTACAACCAGACTACTATATTCTAAAATACAACGACACACATCATCTTCTACTATCCCAATAAAATGATTAACAGCATCTAAAACAGCCAGACACAAAGATTTAAAACTGGGGTTGAACCATAGCCTGAAAGTCAGAACTTAGAAATATTTATTGGACTAGTGGCCCTTCATCCCCCAAGAGTTCTCTTTTAATGCTATCACTACCTGGTTCTACTGACATTTCAGGAAAGGTCAACCCCTTATAAGTGTCATATACTTGGAACATGGTTAAAAGGATCAATTTCATAAACATCAATATGATTTATGTATCAAGAAAATTAGATTGTAAAAAAGAACACATTCAAATTGGGTGAAAACTATTAACTGATAACACAAAGATTCAAATTAATTATCATTTGGTAAAGGGATAATAGATCAGAAATACAGCATTAGCTTTGCGGAGACATAACTGCTGCTGTGTATTGTCACTTGGATGCTGTAAACTTCATCTCATCACCAACTCAGGCAGTGCCTTCTGCAAACAACTCAATCCAAGAACAATCCTGCATCAAACAGCAAACTCAACAGATCACTCCCAACAATATGAAAGCACACTAACCATCTCAAAAACTCCCTTGTAAAGTCAGTGTCAGTGGCACCTCTTGCACAACAATTCTAATCTGATGTGAAAGGCCAATATTACCATCAATGTACAATATCATTCTGCAGGCCGTAAACTCTCATTCTGGCAATATGACTGAAACAATCGCAGCCTTACAACTAGCTTACTGACCCCAAACCTAATTCGGCTTATTTTAAAACATAACAGTCTTTACATGTTCACAAGTCCTGCAATACTGATTGTGAATGGTTGTAGGACCGATATAATTATGAGGAATGGGATCCTTGTGTCAACAGGCTACACCAAGTCTGCTGGTAACGTCATGCAAGGTAATGATCTTCTCATAGCTTAACATCACCCAAATTGCTTTGCTAAGGCTGATAGCATAGCCATGAGAGTGACAAGCATCAGTTTGGTATTTTACTCATCAATAAAAAGCCCTCTCTTTTCTCACGACACTGTTGACAATAATCACATTCGTGTCAAACAATCTTAATTCAAATTGACTGTACTTAAGTAACCATCACACTGGCTGTTCCTTCCACTGGCAAAATGTTCAAAACAACTTCTGTAACTGTCTGGCTTCTGGACACTCCTTTCCTTTCTTGTCCAGCAAAGCTTCCAAACAAATATCATTTTCATATATATGTTGTTTCTCCTGCTCACTGTATCAATCCCAGCATCACACTGAGCAGATGTGAACACATCCCACCAGTCTCGCGACATGTCCAGTCAACATGTCCCCTGACTTCATCACACTGACATCAAGGTCTGACTGATGCACTTCACAGCTTCACTGTAATAGTCCAATACTTGTTTAACTGTCACATTCACATCGTGACTGGTACCCCTCCCTACATGAGGGGCCCGGGTGTGTCTCCACTGTGTCACACAGGGAACATCAATCCTCGGTGTGTCCTTTGTTCAAGCTATCAACTCCACGAGACACTGACCGGTACAGGCATCTGTGATATATGTTTGGTGCTCTCATATTCTGCTCACTGGGTACTATCTGATAAAATATGTAAGATGTTTGATGAAAGTATAGAGTTTGTGGAGTAGTTGCACTTGAAGACAGAAAGGATGGAATAAGGATGAAGGTCTGGCTGATCTAGCAATTACACCATCACTGATGGCAATACATCTTGGCTGATGAAAAATTCACAACGATGACTAGAAGTCAGAATAATTTGATTGTTGTCTTGTGTTAGTGAATTGAGTGTTTGGTAACATTTTCAATATCTGCATGTCAGTGAAAGACTCAATGCCCAGAAGGAATTTATAATTGCAATGACAACAAAAGTGACTGATAATGTCAGAGAGAGGCAGACTTCCTGTTACAGGCACACAGAGTGATGGAGCTCTTCTACCTATACTGTGGTAGCAACATCATGAACAGCGTCCCAGCAACGTAAGAAGCGAAGACATCAATACATTCATCAATATCAAATACCAGTATATAGTTCCATATGCTTCCTCTACTTGCTGAGGCAAACATTCATCTCACAAACTCTGGAATGGGAAACCCATTGTTGGTAATTATTGTAAAGTTTCATACATAACTTGGGTTATTGTACAGAAGAGAACAAGTCCTTGAGAATTGGGAAATACACTTAGGATGAAATATAACATGTTCATGAGTACCAAGATGACATGTCCCATAATCCTGTAATCTCAAAACGACATGTAAGAGTTATGTCCCCTGCCAGGTCAGAGGTCACATGTACTGTCCCCTCTCCTTGGCCTGCTGACATGGCAAGGCATGGCGACTCAGTTGTCTCTTGGTGTCCACTATAACAGAACCGATGCTGATATAAGTTTGGTTCTGAGACTTGTCCGTGAATATCTGGATGTAAGTCATGGTGTCATCAAGAAGCAGACAATGTCTCCCGGGCTGCAGAGGGTTTATACAAGGTGAGAGAGGCTATATGCTGGTTCTGCATTACCTGTGGAGAAATCATGACATGTTTACTCATTATTTCATCGACTCAGGAAATACAAGGACTAAATAACCATGAAAACTGTATTAAGTGAATGATAAACACATCACAGACAGTCAACTCTTGCTAATGAAATGATCCATCACCATATTACAGTCTTCTCATGTTATACATCAGGGCTAACCTACACTAACCCATTTCCACTTTTCTTGCAATCTTCAAATTACCTACCCTTGATTTACACTAACATTTTACTGACCAATCAAACATTGATGTCAGGGAATTTGATTAAAGAGGTAGCTCATATTACCTTGAAACCAAAGTGTCAGTCTAAATGTAAGTGAAGACATTTTTTCTATGAAAAAGATTTTTGACGGCTTTCTTTCGTGTAAGTCCATTTTTTCAATATGTGCCAATTAGATAATAATCAATGTGACCCTGGATATAGTGATAGTTTTCATTTCATCAAACAAAACTTTTGTTGGATCAATGACTTTGCCAGAACATCTAGTGTTTGATATCATCTGACATGCCATGCCATCAGTGTTTGATGACACATTGTCATCCTTAGGTTGCTGTGATGTATTGTAATCCAGAATCAAAGCAGTGTCAGTAATCATCAACATGAAAAGTGCTACATTATACATTGAAAACGGTAGCGCTAGAAAGAGAACAGGGTTACCTCCCTTTACGACTTTTTGTCATACTTTGAAACAAGACGTGTACACCGAGCGAGAGAATGCTCACCTCAAATATCATATCTTGTACGCCATAACAGAATGTTGAGCCGAATGGATTGCTGGTGTTGGTGGAGGAGGAACGGTTGAGGATGACAGGACGCTCGTCTGCCTTCAGCAGGGAGGACTGTACATCATTCCACTGAAACACAACACACATGCATCAAAAGCTGCTCTTCCTGTCAAATGACTGTTGGTTTGTGGTGTAACCATGCACACATCTGTAGACAGGCAATATGATGCCAGCCTGTACTAGTGGACCAGACAATCCAGTGATTATTATCATTAAGAAGAAGTCATGGTCATCAATATCCCCCTGCCCCACAGTTCCTGTTTTTTAACTCCACAACGACATTCATGTCCTGAAAACACATACCACATTTGGTTCCCTTCTATAGATAACGGTTTCTGAGAAAATCTATCCCCATTGGGGATACCGTGCACTAAGTCAATGGCCATAACTCTAACAAATTGTAACACAGTTTCCATTTTCGAACTCCATCAAGGCATACATGTCCTGAAAACACATGCCAAATTTGGTTTCCCTATTTATAATGGTTTCTGAGAAATATGTATCCACTATCTCAGACTGACTGACTGACTGAGTTTGGTTTTACGCCGCAATATTCCAGCAACATCACGGCCGGGGACACCAGAAATGGGCTTCACACATTGTGCCCATGTGGGGATTCGAACCCGGGTCTTCGCGTGACGAGCCAACGCTTTAACCATTAGGCTACCCCACCGCCCCCCATTATCTCAGACTGATGGAAGGATAGACGGAAGGACGGACGGAGCTCAAACCTATATCCCCCTCACTTCGTGGCGGGGGATAATAATGTCTCACTGTATGATGACATAAAAAAGTCAAACTACTGATGCTGATCACATGATTAATGGAGTAGACACAAGGCAACATGTTCTGCTTTAGATTAGAGATTTGTTGCATTAGAAATATATACTTAAGGTGTTACATTAACTTAATAGTGAAAGTAATTAGGACATGGAACTGCTGTAATCTCTTGCAAGAGGTGATGTAGTACCCTGGAATAGGCTGTGACAATGAAGTCACTGTCGTCCATGAGGCTGTGCTGCTGCTTCTCCCTGCTCACCATGACAGGCAGCTTGAACTCACAGCGACAGTACCTGTGGGAAGACAGGCGAGAGAGTGAGGAGAATGCTTCAAACCAAACTGCCACAACATCTGGGCATAAGACACAAGTAGTACGACTGTATTGCCTTGATTTAAACACTGCTGGTTTTCATGCAGGGAATTGTCCCCATGGGTAACCCCTCATAAATGCTGGGGGTAGAGAGTGTTTGAAAGTATAGATACAGTAGTATTTAATTCAGGAAATATGTTATTTAAGGTAAACTGTGTTTTACAACTACAAATTATGGTTTAAGTATAAAAGTATTGTCATGAAGTTTCCTTTATGGGTGTTGTTATAAAATGATATTCATTTGAACTAATCCATGACATATTCACAGACACTCACACATACAAACTAGTTAACCAGGCATATGCAATGTTCGTGGGCATCGTCTACAACAAAACTCACATGTTAAAGTTATAGTGTCCAGGGAAGTTGGTGTGGAGAATGAACTTCTTCACAAGATATGAGTTGGCATCAAACAACAGGTCCTGAAAATGAAAGTCAGTATCATTAAATACTGAAACAGATATCTGTCCTAACAAGTCGGCATTTGTGTTATTAAGTGATAGACCATCCAAACATTATGTGGTGGACTACTATCCAAAGTCAAATAGCACCCTGATGGAAGCATGATAATGGAAAAGTGGAGCACACAGTACACCCTTGTCATGAGTGAGTGAGTTTGGTTTTACGCCGCTTTTAGCAATATTCCAGCAACATCACGGTGGGGGACACCAGAAATGGGCTTCACACAACCTTGTCATGAAGTGACCAAAATCATGACACAGCTTAGGGGCACAGCTTAGGGGTCTCTTAGCACTTGCCATACATTAACATTAACTTACGACTATCTTAGCGCTAAGAGAGCTTCCAAAATCTAGGCCCTGGCCTTTTGGATCTGCCTATGATGTCACCTGATTACATATCAGATTGGGTTAGAGTATAAGAAATGTTTTAAGTTCCCCAGTAAAATTAATATGTTTCAGTGTGAAGTTGTTGGAGATGAAGTCAACACCACAGAAGTTGACACGCTACATCAACTGGACTACCCCACCCCACCCTAGAGAGTAATGCTGTACTCACCACGCCCATGGTAAAGTAGTTGTAGAAGAAGTCAGCGCTGCGAGAGCGGACACGCTTGTGAGCCTCTGGGGAGTGGATCTTCATCTTGTCCTCAGATTTGTAGAACACCTTGCTGGGACAACCTAAGGCACTGATAACATCCTGAAATATGTCACAACCTTCCATGAAACATGTCACAACTTTCTATGAAACATGTCACAATCTTCTATGAAACATGCATTATCCTCTTGTAGTAAAGTCAGAACATACTTGTGATCACAGTGGAATCACACTCAGTTTACATGGACAGTAACTGAACAAGTGTACTCAAGAAATGTATTCAAACACAAACTTTGGCCCTTAAAATTTCTGATGAAATGACAGAAAATCATGTACATCACTCACCTGACATGAATCCCCAAAGCGAACAATTCTCTCAATAGGCCTCTTCCTTGGATCTAACAACTTCCCCGTTCCATTACCTAGGAAGCACACAGTACAGAAAACTTGAGGTGACCAAGAGTTATCCCCCTTAGGTTGCAAAACAAAGTCGAATGTTCAGGTGAGGTGAGGGAGCCCTCATTGAGCAAACCATGATCTAAACACCCTTGTAAAATTGAGCTGAACATTCAAGATGCCTGTTTAATTTTTAATGTGGCCAGCTGTATGAAGATAATTGCCACAATGTCTGTGTATTAGAAAGGTGGGCTATAGTTTGAAAATATCATTCAGGTGGGTGGGTAGAGTCCTGGAGCCCTTAGTGTCTTTAATGACATTTAAATCTATGCACCCATATCATCTCTAACATTAGGGGTCTAACAAAGACTTCTTCACTGTCATGTTTAATTTTGAATGTTGACTATGTTTGCATGGTATGTTATAAGAAATGATTACGTCAACTTAGCTCAAATTGTAGTTTGCTGGAAGACGATATAGTACTGTATGTCATATTGTTCAAGTACATACAGCAAGCTCCACTTACCCTCAGTCACCAGTAAAAACTTAAGTCCCAGAGTTGTATTATGCTCTCGTAGAACTTCCAGGCAATCTAGGAAACAGTTGCCATGGAAACACGAAACAGGCAAGGGAGGTGCTCTACAATGATATAAACCATGTAACCCATCATTGCTTATCCTCATGAGACTTGACTATACACATGGTCAGGATACAGAAACAAATAGACTGAGCTCAGATAAAGCCAATTGGTAAGGTTTCAAGGCAGTGTTCAAAGTGGTGAGATTCTATCCATGGCATACTGAGGAATATACTGAGGACACAATTAGGAGATAAATGTACTGTGTTTGGAAATTAGATGAATGTTAGACCGAATTGATAGTCTCTAAATTCGATTTGAAGCCGATTAATCAATGCAATAATGTAATACCCAATACCATGGTTTTATAAGCCCACCTTCACACAACCAAAACCAGCCTATTGTTTTGTGTGCTGTGTTACTGTACCACTCCACCCTACCCCACCACATCATGATTTCACATACATTCCTCTACCCCGGCATGCGACGTGAAAAGGGTGACCGTGCTGGCCTTACACAATGATTTGTGTACATGCGACTAACTTGGGATTCCTTGGAAATTGTTTTCATCATTTGGGACTGGATTGTGGGCGAGCTATTTTCAAAGTGGACAAACATAGATCTCCAGCAGTGACAGCCTTGCGGGAAGCTGACTAGAGCAGAAGTCTGGTGGTTCAATTTTTTACATGCTTTTGAACGATGTAACGGGACATGATGGAGTATGAGTGGCATAAATTTGATGTTTCGCTTGACCGTTATCTTGCGAATTTCCCATTCTAAACAAAAACAAATATACCATTTACCAAGTACCCAAAAGTTTACTAACGTTTTGCTGCAAATTTTGTATAGATGGGGATGTATTTTTTACGTGGCTTGCTGATGTGTAAGTTTGATATTGTGTTTGTTTGGGACTGTACATTGTAATTGAGTTTGAATATTTTTATAATAGAAGGTAATATGATAGTGAGGTTCCCTATTAATTGTGGAGGAAAAATCATATAATTGTATTTTTCGAGTTTTCATAAATGTTTTATGAGCATTTCCATCAAGTCTGTTGTGTTGATTTTAGCCATGTTGGTGGTGGTCAAGCTGAAGTAGTGCGGCAGTGTTGTATACACACATTGAAGGGGTCGTGAAATCAGACACATTTTCAATCCAAATAGATGGCATCTACTTTTATTGATGGTCCAATCGAATTCGAGTATTTCACGTAGCTATGGTAGAATGAAGAATGGAGCCTCATGGGAATACTTACTTTGTTTCCTGAAGACTGTTTCCTGAGTATATGCACATTCTAGACACCGTGGGAGATGCTCCATTTGGAAACTGTAGAGATCCCAGTCCATGAGCATATTTCGGCTGTGAAACAATAAAAGATAGTGTAATGCTCTGTTCACAGTAGATGAAAACCATGTACGAAATCTCCAGTCATGAATATACATGTTCAAAGAAAAGATCTGTTTCTGCTGAAATGATTCAAACTCCAGCTATACCAAACAGACCTGAGTCTTTACCCCCAGAAACAGTGGTATGAGCAGCATTCTGTGCCACTGGAGTATTTCAATGAACAAAAAGCATGCTGTCTTATCAACTTAAACAATCCATTTTAGTTGGCTCTCACGACCAACTAGCAATCTACCAATGGGAGCCAGGGAATCAACTCCAACCTAAACAGACTCTAAGAAGAAATTGTTTTAAAAATAACCTGGAAAATGAGAATTGGTAAACATTATCTTCACATAATGACAATCCAACTGTAGGTGCACAAATAACAAATGCATCCCTGTGCTTTAGAAAAATGGAAATACTTTCATAACATAAAACTATTTCAGATTTTGCGATAATGTTAAATACTGCCATTGATATTACTGAAATAGCCTGACATTAATTCAGCTATAATTATCTCTTTAAAGTTCTATTTTCAGGCAGTAGTGATTTAGATTTTCTATTTGATACAAGCAATGACTGCAACCATCTTTAGTATTCCCAGGCATTCAATGCATATCCTCATAAACATAATCTATAAGTGCTCTGTCACAATGTGACTGGCATCAACTGTGATTGGAATAAATACTTGCAACCATTTATTATAGACAGGTTGTGCAATCTAGGGCAACAAAATGTGAAACAGATAAGCAAGACATGGATTCACATTTATGGGAATGCATCACATACCACACAATGCAGAAGTTGAAAAACCAGACAAAACCCTTCATTACAAACATAATAAAAGTTTCCATAAAATATTTGAAAAATAAGATTTAATAATTTTTCTCCAAACTGACCACATGCTTAGATCTGTATAAAAAATTATTACCTCTCTTACATTACTGTTGATATTTACAGATCTCTGAAGAAAGAATTACTTTGAAAGGCACTCATTACATCTGTAAATGGCAGACAATAAATATTTGGAAAAACTTGGAAGTAGGGTTTTAAAGAAATGCTGCAGGTTTCAAGGTGATAAAACCTGTACTCACTATCAAACATCCATTTACATGGCTCATGTATTTGTCAATCTGGGATTAGGATGAAAAAAGGTTTATTGTCACAGAAATCATTTGAAAACAAAAAACAGATTCTAACTAATAATTAAGCCATAATGAAATGAAAAAGAAGAATGTGTATATGGGAGAGTGAAACAACTTGCAATTCCCTACACAAAGAAACAAATTCAAGAAATTCATGGTTGTTTTTCAGCTGTAATTTTTCAAGGGAAGACATACTGAGACAAATCATGTTTATAGCTAAAGCAATTGACTGCTTCTAAGCAACAAAATCTGAACACTCACCTCAAACTTGGAATCAATTGGGAAGTCAAATGAAAGCCCCCGGAAATTTAGAACGAACAACTGCTTTTCAGATATGTACACTGCAAGAAAAGCAGTTAAAACAGATGATTTGTGTTGTACACTTTTGTCAGGTCTTTTTGGGATAACCTGTCATACTGAATATTATTGCTGAAATTCTTTCAAAGAAATGATATAGGGCAATCTACTTGTTCAACATTTGTCAACAGTGATCAGTTCCCCATGCAATAAATTCCTCCTGGAACATTTTTTGCCAGTCTATAAGTATAATGTACATAGTAACAAAGGAATAATTTCACTACAGGTAGTCCTTGTCATAAAACTGTGTGCAAATCACCATTAACAGTAGAGCACAGGGTAATTACAGCAACTTTCAAACTTCATGCTGGTCCACTACCCAGTGAGCACTAGATTGTTCTAAGGACCAGTAAAATCCAGGGATGGGCCACCTCACTGACTATGAATAGAGGCCTAATGAGGGGTTGAGTTCTGATGTAGTTCCCAGTTCTACAATTTTATACAAATTGGAACAGAAAATAAACAAAACCTGACAGATATTTATTGTCTCTTTCAAATTAGTACCAAGTACCAGTAGAGACCAGGAAGATATGTCTCCACTAGTTCTCTGGACTAGTCTTGAAAAGGATGCATCAATTGTTTTATGTCCTACAAATATTCCTGAGTACATGTTATGGGCATAAATGATATTCATTAAGTTTAATCCTTGGTCATTAACTGATTACATGGGTGAGTGTTAAGCAGAGAAATATTTTCCAGAACAATATTGTTCGCTTCTAAATATTTCCTTTTAAATACACTCCTAACATTATCAAGCAGCATGTCAAACAATGTTAAACATTTATAAGGAACCAATCCATGTTTATTAACAAGAGTTTAAAGGTTTAATTGCTTATTATCGTAATGATGACCCATCGTGCTGAACCATGTGCTCTCCTAATTCCCCTTTTCCACCCCTATAGTGATCTTTAAGCCCTTCTCTTTAGCTACCCCTTTTATCATGGCAGCGTGACAAATGCGTATTGTCATCATATTGTCATGGGTCATAGCAAAGTCGAAGTCGTACCTCCAGGGTGAGTTGCCCCGAATGACTGGTCAATTTGCTCAATGGTTGGACGCACTTGTGCTGTGTTGAAGTGAACCCCGCTGTGAAATAGCCAATTAATCATTTGTTAATGAAAAACAATATTTCGGATGCACATAAAAAGAGGAGGTCTAAACAACAGGCTCGGTTCTCCCAGCTGTAAAATCAAAGCTACAAAAGAAGGGTGCAGAACAGGAAGGAGTTGATTGTAAAATCATTTTTTTAACCCTCAGTCTTATTTTGATGGAGATCGATTGTGAATGCAATTAAGGCAATAAAAATGCTTCCTGTCATAACGTTACCCCTGCTCTGAAGAGGTTAGAGCGAGAACCAAGTTCCGTTGCTTCATTCAGACATAACATAATGTCATATTATGTCCCCATTGCCATAGGCTACTCTTTGAAATGACCCGGTCAGATTTGTCGGTTGAATCAGGCTCAACTGACGGCTTAATACAAGTCTTTTTCAAATTTGATAATGGCAAAACTGCTCCCTGAGAACAGGTTTTATATCAATAGGACATAACCATCAAACAGCAATTTGCCAACACAATAGCATCTTCATCAAAGCCCAAATGTGAAATATTTTCATTTAAAGCTAAATTATGTTCCCCATCAAACATTAAGATTTAATCTGTGAAATGTTTATCATAATCAATATCAGTCCTCACAATACTTGGGCTCCGATATTGAATATGTTGATATTTACAACCTTCAGGGAATATGACAATATTAGTTTCACCAGTGAATCATAACAATTTCTGTATTTGTTATGATGACATACAGCTGTTGGATTTTACCAAAAGACACTTACCAGTATTTTAACTTGACCTTGCTCATATTGTTTACTTCTATAATCTGAAAGGAATCAGGAAAACAATTAAAACAGATTGAATGGAAATTTGAAATTTAACGTATAAACATCTAGAAACAATGACACTGTAACTTGTTAATTTGTCAACTGTATAAGTCAAACAAACTGAACATATAATCTGAATTCATACATTACACTGATTGTATAAGCAAACACTACCTCAATATCAGTGTTGTATTCATGATATGAACTATACTAAAGAAGTTTAACATGTGTCCAATTCCTTCATATTAGTTCTGTCAATATGTCTGGGCATGACAGATTAACAATAGTGACAAAACAAACCAGTGTTCCTTAATTTCTTTTTGTATTGAATTATGAGTCAAACATTTACAAAAGCAAACTCTTGATATAAATGGAAACCTATTTTTGAGTAAAGAAAATGTAAGTGTTGACATAAACCTCCATTCAACAAGATCACATAATACTAATTAATAGGATAATTTAAGCATTGCATTGAAACATTATTGATTCAGTTCATATAAGAAAAGATTTATAGGCTATGAAAAATAAAAATACTTTTAATGTGAAATGATAGATGGAAGATTGTATTTGTATTGTTGTCAAGTCATCATGTATTTTATTGATACAACCTTTAATCATTGTGATACATTACTAGTTATCATACTGCCCTTTGCTGACAGTGTTTCAAATAGTAACATTATATAAAACTTGTTCTTGTCACAATATGGCAGCAATATTGCCAACATAGGCCATAAGTTTAACCCACTCACACATAGCTGTTACATATACATAAGCAACACTTTACCACATAAATACAGTGAATGTTTATGTTCCTGAACTAAGAAAAGTAAGGCATTGATCTTGAAGCCCACCATGCTCATATACTCCTTTTTCATTCATTCATTATAACCTTTATACCTATGAGGTCACATAAAATACTGGAACAGCTCATTTAAGTAATTTCAGAAAAAACTACGCTTGTCGTTAGCTTAGTAGAGCTATTCAATGGAATGGATACTATTAGCTGAAGGATAAGATGGGATATACCCCTAGTGTTCCAATGTATTCTCATGTTGTTCTTGTGTTTGCAGCACTGAGAATCTGGCTGACCATAGTGTCAGGAGACAATGTGTTTGTCACAGACAAGTCACCACTACCCACACCGAGTGGACAAGGTGTCCTTGCTTGACCCCAAATGTCCCTAAGGTCTTCTTCTGTTTCAAAGTATCAAGCCAGCCCTGTGATCATAGGCACTGTCCCCTATTTCCACACTAGCCAATCTCCCAGATTATATTAAGTTAGAGATGAACATGGCCTGGTCATCAGTTCTCTTGTCCTAACTGACATGGTCATTTCCTCAAATTGAACACTACAAACAAAAACAATTTGCTGGCCTTTTTGACCGTCCCTCCCATTTATAAAGAAGCATGTCATTTTGTGCTCATGACTGACACCTAGGGCCAATAAAGACTCATTGGGAAGAGATATTTTATATCGCTATCTCCCTAAAAGCAATCAGGGTTAATTGAGGACAATCGAATTGGGACCTTGATAGGGGACTTTGTTGATTAGTGGATTGACGGGTCCGGGTGCCGTGGGACAAGTCAAACATCAGACTGGACGTCCAGCAATGCTGGTCAGCTGCCAGGACATCTGTCTGCTTGTCCAGTGCAGTGGACTCAAACTGACCCTTGCTTCCTTATTGTTGAGGTGGTTCTTTGAGTCTAGATCAATGCAAAAAACATAATGTCCACTCAGGCAAGATGGCACGTGCCCAGTTGACCCCATATAGTTTATTGTTGATTAAATCTGTGGGCAGTTGTATGTACCCAGCAGATTAATCCACAGGTCTTGCTCCTGGCCATTTGTTCATTGTATAGTATTGTTCTCTGGAGGGAGGTTTGTTCTAGGTGCGACTTATTGCCCTGAGTTGTGTCCGGAGCAGTGACCCCTTGTAGGACATTGTGTCCACTGTGGCCCCGCTAAATGTTACAACCCAGCTGTTGCTCACATCTCAGTTCATCTGTTAAAAGGTCCTGTAGATCTCTATCCTGTGTACTTACATGCATCAATTAACATTAAGCATTCATATCCCTTATTTACCTGCTGTTAAATGCATCAATTAACATTAAAGTGATCAAACTCGTTGTTTACCTGCTGCCAAATGGTGTGTAGGACAGCTGGATTATGACTAATGATTCTTAATCACAAGCAACTATCCCAACAAGAGTATGTTTCATTGACAATACAAAACAGATGACAGCTCTTTCTTTCTAGACTGGTACAAGAAAGTTATTCACTTTAAGTATAACAAACACTAATCTGGGGAATAACTCAACACTAATTTCATTCTTTATCGATAAAGGAAACTTTTTCTCCTTTCACTCCATTCAACATAACTGCCTTAATGCATTGATCCCTGGACTCCGGCCTGGTACCAGTGATGAATTACCTTGAAAACATCAAGTGCTTATTAACCTGCATATGATTCCATAGTTCACTGTATACAGTATGTATGCAGGCTGCCAGATTTTACTACTTTAAATTTGAAACCTCATAAAACCAAACATAATTTTCTTATCAAAGACTAAAATGTGTTTAAAACTATCCTCTGCCACAGCTGCTACTAGTTTTTGCAGTACAATGAACCCCCGCTGACTCCAAATCTGATGGAACTAGCAATTAGAAAGTCAAACTTACAAAACCATCAACAATGACCTCTACTATTACAACAGTTATTTAACATTTGATAATGCTCCAGGAGTTAATTAACTGGGAGAAATAAAAACCTTTCTTACAGCAAAACTACATTTTGCCACATTAATTTTAAAAGCAAACTATTCTATGATTGATCATGATAATTATTACCAACACTACTATCATCACATCAATGTTCTCAGAGACAAAGACTTGATCCCAATTTTTCTGTTTGTTATTAACCCATCATATGGAAAAATATAATGTACCCAGATCATGCCAACTTTAACATTGTTGTCTGAACAGTTTCCTGAAAAATTAATTTGTTTTCTGTCATGAATTGAGACAAGCAAATTTAAACTGTGAACAGACTGGATGATTAAGACTTTGGCAAGAATCTGAGGATGATGTCAGCTCACTTCATTGGCATTATACAGCTGAGATGTAATTGTTCGATTATCAATTGTGTTATTATTTCAACAACTTACAACAATTATGTTCCACGTCAAGACCAATAGTGTTCATATTAGGGATTTGGGGTCCTGGTTTTGTTACAAAATAATTCTGAATGCCGGGCTAAAGACTCTGTGATGACTGCTGATGGTATCATTAAACATACAAGTCATTTACATAATGACAGAGGGTTCTGAGGTGGACGTGCGAGTGGCATGATACAATATGAGGTCGCAGACTATGACTAGCAAATCCTGTAATGACGTTTGATTCAATTATGCCTCATTGCACAAGAAGAATAAGCTAGGCTGGACAATACCCTCGCTTGTCACTGTCAGGGGGCAGGGCACGCGGGCGGGGTCGACACACAGCAAGGGTGGAGGAGGGGAGGGTCAGTCAGTCAGCTTACCCGGACACCGAAAAACCATCTCTGGTGTTTATTAATCATGTCAAAGGAAAAGAAGCCCCCACTTAAGCTTTATGCTGGCTGTCAAAGGACAACTATTGAGTGTCAGGTTTCTCCTTAAAACACCAAAGAACCCTGAGCTGGTGTTTTCATCCTCATTTTTTCAGCTGCAAAATATGAAATAAAAGAGGGAGCTGAAGGTACTTAAATGATAGAGAAATTTCATGAAAAGGTTCATCAATTAAGTGCTGGTCTTGTCAACGTCAGTAATCCTTAACCAATGGCCAATGGGTGTGATGAGGGTGCTTCATATTCGGGCACACGGCTTGAAGAAGCTACTTTTTGTGAGAGCATCCATACCTGTTATTACGTGGCCAGAGCTTCCCTTAGCGTAAAGTCCACAACAGCAGCCCCTACCTCAACCCTCCCTGCTGGATTACAGGGTAGGTAAATAGCTTCACTGGACAGACTACCACCTCCCTCCCTCTTATTACTGAATTACACGTTGACAGAACACAGCCCCATCCAGCCAGTCTACCCATGTACAATACAGGTTGGGCTTGGGGATAAGCTTCACAGACAAGAGATATAAACATGCATGGGAAGTATTATAATGGGACATGTCAGGCACCCAGAAGAATACAGTCAGGGAGGAAATCTAGACTAGGCCTTTGTCGTGGGGGCAAATGAGCAGAAAATACATACATTCAAGACTGGCTGAAGGGATAATCATGGCTTACACACAGAGATAAACAGCATGTATGTGTATTTTTCTGAGCTGGATAATTAGGACGTCAGGTGGTATATAGAAGATGGCAATAATCACCATACATGTCAATGAAATACATACAGGATCTTCACAAGCAATTGAACCATCCCTCTTTAGATATGATGAACATCCAAACTGTCTTATGCTGAACATCCTGAAGAATTCATTTATTGAATAATTCTATTAAAAAATTGCATACAGAATAATAATAATATTATCAAATTCATTATATGATACTACTGGTCTAAATAGAGTCCAATATTATGCTGGCAAAATTCCGTACATCGTCGGGTGACCTCATTCAAAAGAGAGAGATATTCAAAAGAAATATTTGTAATGTCCATTAGGACAGACAAAGGGTAAAATAAAATGTCTGGTAATTTCGTAAACATACTGGTAAAATATTTCAAAAGCATTACGAATATACAAACAACATGTGCTGAAAATGCTTACTTTCAATTTACCTATTTACTATTAAAAATACTTTAGACAAGTCTGAGGTTGGTCATCTGTAAAATTTAAAAAAATGAATGAGTCTTTATATTCCTTATAAAAAAGAAATACCCCTAAACCCAAACTCCTATCATATTTCCTGGATCATCAACGAGATTACACCACTACTTTTGTTAACTACAGTGTAGTGAAAAACAAACATTTCTAGTTGAACTTGGTCAAGTAGGAGACAAGGTTATGAGACCCTCAGGGTCAGGGCAACGTGTGTGCAGCACTTGTAAGGGAGGGGACAGCAAAAGATCAGGGACGGGCATAATGGATGGCTGAGGGAGGGAGGGAGGGGATGTGAGTGTGTCCACCCTGGTCCTACCCTCACCTTACCCTGACCTGACACACGTCCACAGTGTCCAGGTGCACATGAAAGGGACATGAACTCAGACAAAAACTACCATTGACATTTTTATTCATATGTTTAAGACCCACTGAAAAGGCCGGGATGATAATTAGGCTAGCATAGATGTTAATGAATATAATTGATGACCATCTCTGCCCACACTGAGACTTAATAGGGATCATTAGACATATTACCAGCAATAACCTCTCTCCATTACACTTCAATGGTATTTATTATTTGATTCTCAAGTCAAAAAGCACAAGCAGTCCATAGTGTGAGCTTTGTGTGCTTGAGATTCAAAGTGTCCCAGATGTAACTGATTCAAGCTTCACATAGGGGGTACATTCAGTCAGTGCTGACAGACAGCATGAACGATGTAGTCAAATCAAATGGACATTAATTCTGATTAATCCCACCTCCAGGTGCACATTCCTCTGTATCTTTTATTGAAAACCCTCATGCAGTTCTAGGTATTAATACATTGTAATATGGGCTGACAATTTTAACCGAACAGCATGAACAGATTTCATCCACATTTTTCAAGGAGTTTTCTGTAGTTTAGATAAAGCAACCATTGTTAAGGGGTGTTTTTTCTGAATGGAAAATTTAAGACCTTCAAAATTATTGTGTCTGTGGCGACAATATGGAGGTGACATAAAGAAATAACACATTGTTATCGAAGTGTTCTTAATGAAAAAAAAGTCAAACATGGGACCTCCTACACATGTGTGTGCATGGACAGAATTGTTAATTTCATTTCAAGGCACTTTCTGTGTTTTATGGCAATGAATATTTTCATAAATTTATCATTGAAAAAAACCCATATTACAGCAGAATATTCATATTTACATTGATGAGGAAACCATAACATTTTAAACTAGCTGGGCTGCCAATTGTGTGCCCATCTATTTGTTACCTTCAGTAAAGGAATGATTCATTACCTGCTTAACTGTATTCTGTATTGTGAATACTAGCTGTAAGGACTCTTGAATGTTCATCCACTTGGTCTAGGAATGGGGCATGGTTGTCCAGCTATTAGTAATGCAATGATTAACATGCCCTCTTGGTGTCAAGTGGTACTCTTTACACGTGTTACATTGATCTACTGAGGAAACTATACTACAAGAACACTTGAACAACAAGGAGAGTTTTATGGATATACAACTTCCTTGTTATCAATATGAGCTATTATGGCTCATATTGATAATAAAGAAGTTGTATATCCATAGAAATCTCCTAGATGTTCAAAACACCAACTTCTAAATCCCACTCAAAGAAGTTACAAGAATACTTGACGAGGTAGAACTTGTTAGGATATGACTTGTTGTTTCTTAACATGATTAGGATTAATATTAATCATCAATATCAAATATACATTGTATTAATATTAACACACCAATGTTTATTAATGTCCAAAAATTATTGATATTTCCAATACCTATATATCCCAAATATATCCCATATCTTCCTGACAATAACACACCTGACATTCTGATTGATTTAGAAAAATGAACTCTTATCAATTTTTCAACATTTAGCACCTTAGCTAATAAGAAAATGTTTAGCTAACACAAAGACGGTCAGATTGTGGGATTTCCTGGATGATGGGGTCCAGATTACCATGACTTAATTCACACAACAATAATCAGCATCTATTAGACAGGGCACTCAATAACCCATAGCCTCACAGCACAAGATTTAACCATAGATTAAGTCTGAAAGTAATCAATCAATAATGTAACACTGCTAAAACAATTTGTCTTCCAGTATTCATTCAATCTGATTTTGTTCATTTACCTAGGTATGGTACTTGAAGCTCATAAAGATACAGTAATAATCTAACATCAAAGGATTTCCCACACTAATGGAGAAAAAATTACATCAAAACCATTTCTTTCTTTTATGCACTATATCCCACCTGCTACAAACAAGTTGCTTGCACAAGGTTAAAAGGGAGCCTAAAATTAAGTTTGGAGATAACAGCTTTCAACAAACAAGGAAGATAAAACTTCCTGTTTCCATCAATCAAATGTCATCCCATGTCTGAAGAACAATATAGACAATCAGGAAAGTGATCGCAGTCATTACAGACAACACTCTACAAAATCCAATAAAGAACATTTCCATATTTTGTTCATCTATTTCATTAATTGAGACAGCCATCAATATTGCCATTATTGAACAGTCTCCTACTACAGGCTGGTGGCAATAATAACTATGTTTGCTCTGGCCAGTTCTCCAGCCAGGCCAGATGCATAATGCTCCAATAACCTTTGTAGGTATTTATTGACAAACAGTCATATTATTTTTTCAATTCATCAGAAGAGCTAAAGCTATTCTTTATCTCTATATCAGTCAACAAAAAGCGACAAGAGCTATAACAGACACAGCAATGATGCCAGCTTGCCTATACAGTATGTAAACTCTGGCCAGAAAATGAAGGAGCCATATTTGTGCGTCCACAACGAAGGTCCACAAAAAAATAGTCAGTAATTCTGATTAATGGCTATCCATGACTGCTGGACGACAGTGATAAAGAACGCTATTCACAAGTCTTAACAAAAGAACAAAAGACTCAAGTTTTAATCGTTGTTAAGTTTTGCCAGTTCATCGAGCAGCGCGTGCCGTTTTTCTCCCCTTGAAAGGTTGACATGTCTTTTGTCCCGATGAGTGTGACAGTGACCAGTGGATAGAAGAAGTGCCTCTTCATGCTGCCCCAGTGACTGTCCAAGGCTGATAAGATTCTCTCTGACCCTATTAAGAGGGGTAGCATGTTTCTCAAGAGGCAATCGTCAAGAGAGCAGGTCCGAATGCTCTCATTTCATGCCCCCCTGATTCTATCATTTTCAACCCCTGTCAAGCTCAATGAAGCTCATCAAATAAAAGCCAAATTGAAACAAATTAATGAGCCTAACTGGCAGATGCTGATAGGAGTTTTTTCTCCGCGGATCAGCAATTGCAAGTAATCAAGTGTGGACAAAAGGTGGTACATGGTGCCTGGAGGCTGTATTTATTGATATTATCACTTGTCTGTGTGGTGACAATGGTGGACACGTCCTGCCTCCTCCACCACTGGCCCTACATAAACATACATGCACGTGGCATGACACAGTCCTCACCTTCAGACGCTGGGACACAGGGTCGAAGATGAGTTTGATGCCGTCGTGGGACAAGTTTAACACTAGATCCATCTGAAGAGGGTTCTGTTGAGAGAAACATTGGCATTAGTCATGGAGCTTGATGGATGGCAAAACTCTAACCAATGACAGAAAAACACAGACGGAAAAAGAATAATAAGAACTGATGGATGAAATAAAATGCAGCTTTCTTACACAATCTGTTACTGTTAGTTTTTCCATTTTTGAAATCATTTTACACACAGACCCTAGTTTATGAACAATACTTTGAAGGAACACAATTGAAATTTGTCAAGAAAAACTACTCTTCTGGAAGAAAGCACACTGTTTTCATTACTTAAAAAGCTCCACTTCTCAAGTAATATCTGAACATATGTCTCAACTAGACAATGATAGTGTGGATTGTGAGCACTCATCAGGAGTGTTTAACTTGTCAACCAGATTGTGATCCATGGATGATGACTGACTGATTATAACAAAGATGCAGACATTGCTTTCGAAGACTTATGATGTCTCATAACCATGTGATAACATTATAGGACTGGGTCTGTAACAAATATGATGACATCATGGTCAAGATACAATATATGACACAAATGCCATGTGTAGATAGCCAAGTCACCAGCAGCCTACATACTTCCCTGCGACAAACAAACACTGATACTACTGTTTACATCTACAGTACAATGTGATAACATATATACCTAACATATCTTCTGTATTGGTATGTGGACCTATCAACATTTGATGATCCAGCAACTAGAAAATAAATATTCTTTTTCATCTTCTAACAGAAAAAATGATAGAAACTGTGCAATATGTGTGCATAAGCATTTCTTTCATCCAGCAAAAAAGAAATCAGAAACATCAACATATTTTGTATATAAGAAACTCATGCTGAAGGTCCAGTAAAATTAAATGGGGAAAATGGATAGTATATAGTATAGTGTTTCTCCAAAAATTAATTTGACTGAATTATCAAATTCCATCATCATCAGTTTTCCATTTGTTCTTTTTTTTTCTTAATGCTGTAGTATGCAGTATTCCAGTTATATCAATGCCGGTTAGACCAGATAAACCCATGATTGACATAACAAGATATTTACTCGCAAAACACAACTTGACTGAAAATGCTGAGCACATATCTTCAACTTTCCTAGTCCTAAAATGATGTATACCATAGATACTGAATTTCCAGAGCGATGCAACAATGGTGTCCATGCTAAATATCAGCCTTCCAGCCACCATTATCACATAGGCTTGAAAATTATAATTGAGGCATTAGTACAAAGACTCCAGTTACTTCATCGACATCCTCTGAAATCATATATGATGCATATGTATGTGTCTGTGCAGATCAGCACCTCTATTGCAACATATTATGAAAGCCACAGACAGGGAATGTCTCTGGAACCCATGTGAACAATCATGCTAAACATAGCATCAATGGCTTGACTATGCAATCTGTGAATGTGCCATCGAGACAGGCGACACTCATGCGGTGATTCAAGTGATTTCACAGAAAATCAATATCATGTCCCATATCTCGTTCTATTCCTGTTCCTATAGAAAAATGTGCTAGCTAGGTGAATGATCTCTCCTACAAGTAAAGAAGCTTCTTGACCAATCATAAAATTGCACCTATCAAGATACAACAAATCATGCAAATTGATGCGGTTAGTGGAATGAACACAATAATAGTAACCACCAACGTTATCTGTTTGCATGACATTAACTTGTTGCATTGTGCTACGTCATGGAGCTTACTTGCCAACGCTGACGACACAAGTCAGAGGAAATCTCTCCCGACTGACGTCATAGATGTATCTTTGCCTGGTTCCCGGTTATAATCAGAACACAGGGATGGACTTAAAAGGCAGGCAGGGTTCACGAGTGGGACTGGGGACAGGTTGGGGGCAGAATAAACATAGGGCTAGAGTGTCACCTGACCAAAATAAGACATTGTAATTTGGCAACAACATCTTGTTTGTGTGTATGCATGTTACTTGCAATTTGGACTCTTTAGTTGCTACACTGAGTAAACATGGCTGTTGGTATTGCAACTTAAAAAGGCAGAATTATAACAGTAAGTTTTTGTTTTTAAGACATATATGGATATTTAACAGACTCTTTCTAAATTTGCACACATATCAGGTTAGAGATCCTCATGAATACCGTACCGAAAGAATGAATCACATGTGAATGCAAATATAGACAAGAAGCTCATCACAAAAAACTGTCCTGAGCTACCTGGGCTGCAAATACAAATGTTGCAGATTCAGTTTGCAGAAGTAACTCAGCCTTTAAACTAGAGAATATACATATATAAGAACTAAGTTGTGATGATGATACTCAGCTTCATTGAGCTGTTGAAGGTTGAGGAAGGGTGAAATAGACTGACAAAACTAGAATTTACTGAGCTTAATGAGGTAGAATGTAAGAACTACAACAATCCTGTCAGTGAGTGAGGCAAATAACTGGGTCTGAACCACAGAAACTAATGACTGGTAGCAATGTTAGAAATAAACAGGATCTAAGGTGCCTCAGGTTTTTTCTGTAGTAATTCATTCATGTAAACAACTAAATATTTCTAATTATAACATTATTGTTATGACAAGTGCTCTTCGGCTGTCATGTTTCTGAATTTTCGGTAAAGAGTGAGCATGCCATGACCCTGTTGCAAGAACACATAACGTCAGTACAAGAGTTGTCTGCCTTGCTGGTCAGGGTTCACAAGCATATCAAAGCTGTGTCAATCCAACTCAGTCAGATTCCACTGGAGAATCAGATGAGGCTGTACTGGCTAAGACACTGTACATTATGTTCTTACAAAGTACAGCACTGCATACCATATATAACTATATTATACAGTCACATTACTGTCAATAGTAATCTGTTGGTTCATGAACAGAACCCTACCTGGGCATATATAAGCTTATCTTACTAGCCCAACAATGCTCACTCAGCTTGGAGCTTGGGACTAGTGGTCAAAGGCTCTGGAGCTAATACTGAGTCCCCAGGTGATAGACAACAGAGTAAGTGTGAGAAGAGGAGAGTATCAGCGAGGGAGCGAGTTTGATTGAATTCCCCTTTGACTGACTGACTGACTGAGTATGGTTTTACGCCATTTTTAGCAATATTCCAGCAATATCACGGCGGGGGACACCAGAAATGGGCTTCACAAATTGTACCCAGGTGGGGAATCGAACCCCGGTCCTTCGGCGTGACGAGCGACGCTTTAACCACTAGGCTACCCCAACGCCCCAATTCCCCTTTGAAATGCATTACAGTTATATCCCAGCATGTCAGCTTGTTGGTGATGTAGTGAACTTATGTAGGTTTTAGGTGGTTACCATTTGTTAAAGACAACAAGCACACCTACAGTCATGTTGTGAAGTTATTTAGGTCCTAGGTGTTCACCACTTTGGTAGAAGTCAATAAGCTCGGCCAAAGTACCATCAGTGGAAGGAGATGGTTGGCAAAATGTATTTCTCACCTGGTCGCTGTACCACACCTGGATGCCCTTGATGATACGATCCTGGCGCTTCAGGATGTTCACAGCCTGGTAAAAAAGGCATACCTGGAACACACAGGTTAATAATCATATATTACCTCAACTGAATTAACATTGGTGACCTGACACCCACATTCTAACATAACCACACATGTACATAAACGGGAAAAACATCATCATGATTATTATAACAGGTAAGTTACTTTTTGTAAAACTATATTTTATCTCTTCACCTCTTTCAGTGGTGAAATTGAGCTTTAGAGTGAGTGAATGTTGCTTAATGCACACACAGGTATATACCAGCCACATCGTTGCAGCTTGTAAACAACTGACTCTGGACATAACAAACTAGTAACAAAAGCCACGGGCAATGATGCATGACATCAGGGCCAAATGAGTGAGTGAGTTAAGTTTTATGCCGCCATATTCCAGCAATATCACGTCTGGGAATACCAGAAATGGGTTTTACACATTGTACCCAAGTGGGGAATCGAACCAGGGTCTTTGCGTGACGAGCGGATGCTTTAACCATGAGGCTACCCCAGCGCCCCATCAGGGCCAAAAGACAGTGAGACAGGTCACCCTGTTTGACCATTTCAGACACTTCTTTCATCAAGCAGCGATCATGAAGGTTACTAGGCACCATTAGGGGATTGATAATTCAGGGAAAAGAGCAATATGGAAATTTTAATAGAAGAGAGAAATAACCAAGTTAAGAGGTTCTTGAGAGGCATATAGAAGTTGTTATTCAAGTATAAGACAAAATATTATGGATGTCAACTTCTTCTTTATTGTATACACGTTTCTGGGCTTTTCCTTGCCCCTTCGTCAGGTGAATGAAATGTTCAGGTGCCCACAAACGTTGTGCATACAATAAAGAAGAAGTTGACATTCACAATATTTTGTCTTATACATGTGACATGAATTGAAAGACAAGATGAGCTAAAATACATGAAAAAAACTAAAGTGACATTATAATTCCAAAATACTGAAAACGTTTTACAAAATATACTGAAAACAGACCCTGAGGATCAATAATGAATTCTGACATTGTCCTTTACACACTACACACATGTCAACCCAACTCCCAGCTAATGAAACCTGAGCAGGCCAACAGTATCTTTCAGCAAGGACATTTCTGAGTTTTTTTGCCAAGGTATTCTCAATAGAAGGGACAAGCATTTAATTACCTTATATGTAACCCACATCTGTCCTAAATTGTGTTAATAAATAACAACTTCTTGGTCACAAAGTGTGGGAGGGAACACAGCCATAATAAGATATTCACGGTAGCAGTGACCGGAGAAAGAACCTACCACATTCTCCCAAGTGACAACATGTCAGTGTGCCCCCTCATCTCACAGTAACTGAAGCAGACAAATTTCTGGGTACCACAAAGTCCATAATTTGACCAGAATTCTAGTTACAGACGCAGTATCTATGGAGCAGATATTTTCGTTACATCACAGTCATCCTGGCAAGGTTTCATTTGACACCTTGTATTAACTCAAGTTTGAACATTTGAAAAAAAAGAATCCTACCAAGCATTTGAAATGATGAATACAATAAGTTCATGACCAATAAGCATCCTAGCCAATATACATGTATATGAACTATACAGACAAAACTAAAATATTCCTCACTATCAGCATGTCCTTGTTAATGTTCAGTTTGAGTGTGAAATTAATGTTGTTTTGTGCCAAGGCAAACAATCTTTGTCATGGTGACCAATTAAATGTTCAGTACCGATCAGACAAACAGATAACATGTTTAACAATCCATGCCTTTAAAGAACAGTGACATATTCTTAGCCAGGTCCACATCTTAGTTGGCTCCTTGTAACGAGCATGTGGTAGAAGGTATATGTTCTGTCCCACTATCCCTGACTTGAAGTAATGATAAACTGCTGATCATCCCTCCTTGTCTGCCCAAGTATCAGCTCCCTTTAAGGTATTGTTTGCTTGTGTCCATACAGACAAACTGCTAGGTATAGGTTCTCTTCTTATATTACTAATGAAATACACTACAAATACAGTTACACCAACCATGCTATTGTAGTGCAAGCAATCTTTTCTTCCCCCATGGAAATAAATACCAGAGAACACAAATAGATGAATATAGCTTCAGCATGTATTGAGATATATTTACCATATCAAAGAATGTCCACAGGGCAAAATACCAAGAGGATTATAAAAAGATAATTGAACTATATGCTTTCAAAATGTCTTTAAATTGAGATTCCTGGTCTCTTCGAGTCTTAAATTAACATTAAACAAAAAAAACCTAATAACACAAGTAACACATAGTGGATTCTCAGCTTCATTTGTTTTCACACCTTGAAATATTTATATGAAATGGTTTAGTAACACAGATTGGTCTGTCTTCATCTTTATAAAAAAATATGCAAACAGTGAAAACACCTCATGATGAACATTTGAGAGGGGGAAGGATAAAACCCCATTAATAATGATGGTGTCAGATACATCAGGTCGTTCATGTGTCAACATGAATGTAACAACAGTGACCTGTGATTTTGTGGACAATAGATTTGTGACAATTTTCAGGTTTAAGAACTCACACATGAATATTCAACCATTTCAATTCTGTTCTTCTTTTCCATTTGTATTCTGTTCTAACTTCATGCACTGTTTCTGTCTCAATGGCCATTATTGTTAACAGATGGTACCAGGTTTTTGCCTGATCTAGTTTGTAAACTGTATTCCTACATGACCGATAAAGTATCTTTCAGCAGAAATGATAGAAGTGTGAGAACAATGTGACCATTACAACATTGACGGAAACCATCATTCATGTATGCAGAGAAAACGAGTTGATTGTAATAGAAGCAGATATGATACAGAGTACTACTCAGTTGAATAATTCATGACAACCTCTATCATTGTCTATGTCCGTCCTCGGAGACTCATTACACAAGACTATGGCTCACTAAGGGTGATACTTGGAGCACCAGCTTGGACTGGTCCACTTAAGGACTATACAAATCTTTACATTATCAGGGTTTTTAAGGGGGAGGTAGAGTGTGGGTTAATTTTGTTTGTCAGGTGATTGCCATCAAGGGCTGAACTAATGTCAGCAGCCTTAAATAACTGTAAATGAATAATGTTTGACATGGTCATAACACCAACAGAACAGTTTTAGGGCTTGCTAATTATCACTAAGTTATCATTAAAAGTAGAAACCGACTACCATTTATTTTGAAACCAACACATAACAGTGAAATAGGATGTAATTAGTCACACAGTTTTATGTGTCACGTTTGCTAGCAATTGTCTCAAGCACTAAATCTGGAAGCTCTGGGACCCAAGTAAATTGAGAATTAGTATTAATCAACACAGAATGCAAGATGAAGTGTGATTTGTGTGTTTAGGGGTAATTAGGGTCAGAGCAGTTTGATATTTTTGAATTCTCAATGCATCAAAATACAAAAAAGTGTTCAATAGTACAAGGGTTAAGGATTATTTCAGACAATGTATGTTGGAAATCCGAATGTCTCTAATTGTTACCAAATATCACACAAATGACATGTGCTACCAAAAGGGAGTTAGTTAAAGGAGATGAAAATCCTGTTATTTCATTTGTTAGTGAAATCAGTTTCTCAGAATGGAAAAATCAATTGTAATTGCATCTACATTTTTTCCAATTAGTTGTTCTCATGAACTTACACACTAGTCACAATGTTGTTCCTCACATACTATCAGTCTTTTTCATTGCAGCGAAAAGAAGTGTTAGCTTTGTAACAATGAATCTAAAACATTCTATTCGTAAACAAACATAACATATCATATTATGTCATTGTATAATGATATTAATCTACAAGATGGTGGTCTAGTGGCAACTTATACAGATAAACATCATGCAGTCTCATTTTACTAACATCATACAAATAAAAACTGGCTGCCAAATTCCGAAAAAACAATTTGATTAGTATGGAAAGCACTGAATACACATGGAATAAGTAGCTGTCTTATTCTACAGATTCAAATGACACTGAAACAAGCTAAAGATCCACAATGGCTCAATGTCTTCCTCTCTACAAATACTGTTTGCACAGAATAAAAATATAAGACTTCACTTGTCATGCAGTTCAATATGAACAGTTCATATTCAAGGAGATGTTTCTGTCATGTTGTTTAATAGACAGGGATCGATAGCTCGCTTGCTCTACTTTGTAGTCTTCATATGCAATCCACATTGAGTGTAACCCCAGTCACGACCAAGGAGTAGCTGCATATGACAGTTGGGATGGCATAAACTAGGTATTGTTCACAGATACTGGCATTGCAATTTGGATAAGACTATTGGCTGATGAGGTTCAGCCTGCATTCAGATGGGAATACTGTGTCAAGGTTAAGATGGGCCATCTCTTATCCTACAAGAGTAGAAAAGCCATGCCAGTAGGCCTTCTTAGCAAATATTGCTTAGAAATAGCATTAAAAAATTCCAGAATATTCAAACCATGTATCAGTAGCTCAAATTGACTACAATATTATTTTTTGTTTTGCAGTCTGCAGAGTGCTGATGTAATTGACCAGGGAGGTTCCCTTGAGTCTTATCAATAAATATTATTAGAAATAATGCGACAAGGATCTGTAGCTCACCTGAACCATCTTCTGCAATGCTTTTCTTAAAGGTCACATGCAACGTAAAACACAACTTTGCAGATTCTGATACCTTTCGGTATGGACTTACCTAAACAAAGCGTCAAAAATGCAAATTCAACTTATAAAGTTGAAAAATAGCGATGAAAAAAAAACGCCACAAATCGGAGTTCAAGCGTTTCACTAATTTTCCCCAGACTTTTCTGGGGAATACGGAGGTTTCAACGGCTGGAGCTGCGCTCATGGCACGTCGCCAGTGAAATAGGTTCACAAGAACTTGAAGCCGGGCTGTCTGGTGAATACTCGGGTGAAGGCTTTGGTGTGAGCTATTTTCCTAATGTTTTGTTGATATCTCACAGAAGCGAAGCTTTTATATGTTATGACAGTAAATAAACTGTTTATATAATTTCATTTGTCTATTTCACCACACGTTCTTCTTACCTAGTC